CCGGCGCGAGTTCCGCTCCCATCGTCTCCAATTCGTCAGCCTCAGGTATGCCTTTGGTGTGCCTCAGGTATGCCTTTGGTGTGCCTCAGGTATGCCTTTGGTGTGCCTCAGGTATGCCTTTGGTGTGCCTCAGGTATGGCTGATTCCTGCGGGTGCCATTGTCGCGGGGTACGCGGTTACCGCTATCGCGCGTCTCGCAGATACGCTTGTCGCGGATTCCGCAGTTACCAGTGTCGCAATTTTCACAGTTACAAATGTCGCGGAATTCCCAGGTACCGGTGTCGCGAATCCCCTCAAGTGTATATTCCGTGTGTGCCGGTCGAACGAATCAAGCCAAATTTATCATTCGTGGTGGCCTTGAAATCCTTCTCAAAGACAGCGAGCCTTATGAGGGTTTGAAGCTCCTTCCTGAGCCTTACGAGTGAGCCCCGCCCACTCTATGCCTCGCATGCGCCGTAACCCTCTGAGGTTCTTCCAAACATCACTGGCAATGCTGTTGGAGGGGGTTCGGGTTGCTCGTACACATGCAAAATGAGGGTTTGAACGAGTGCCTATCAGATTTCTCCCTCCAACCCCTCCGTCTGTTTCTAATCCAATGCGTCCACGAGTGCCAGCACATCGTCTCTGTCTCTGCAATCGCGTGCTCCTCACGCATCTTCCACTCTTCCGCAGGGCTTATACCGTTTCCCCTCGGCTTCTCCTCCCGTGTTCCCTGCCGCCCCCCCACAGGAGGCGCCACAACGACCACAGTTTCCTCTCCGCTTTCCCCCCCATCCCCCCTGCCGCCCCCCCTGACGCCCTCCCCACAGGAACCCTCACAACGACCACGTGCACCAGCCCTGCTGCAAGCTCTTGAGTTGCCTGAAAAGCCGTTCCCTCTCTGCTTCTCCTCCCGTGTCCCCTGGCGAGCTGGCTTTTGAGAAATTTAAAACACCGGACCGTTCCCTCTTGGCTTCTCCCCCCGTGTTGCCTGACGCGACGCCCTCCCCACAGGAGGCGCCACCACGACCAACAGCAGCGGGCCTGGCAGCGGCGGCGCGGGCAGCGCGGAGAAGTTCAAGCTAGCAGAGCTGAAGGCGGCGACCAACTCGTTCAGCAAGAAGGGCGTGCTGGGGGAGGGCAGCTCTTGAGTCGACTGTAAAACCGTTCCCTCTTTCCGTCTCTTCCCATATCCCTGCTGCTTCTCCCTCCTCCCCTGGCGCTTTTCCCCCCTACAGGTGGCGCCACAACAACGAATAGCAGCGGGCCTGGCGGCGGCGGCGCGGGCAGCGCGAAGAAGTTCAAACTGGCAGAGCTGAAGGCGGCGACCAACTCGTTCAGCAAGAAGGGCGTGCTGGGGGAGGGCAGCTTCGGGGAGGTGTACCGGGGCACGCTGACGGACAAGGTGACGGGCGAGGTGACCAAGGTGGCTGTGAAGATGCTCAACGCGGAGAGCTCCCAGGGCATGGACGAGTGGCTGGTGAGTGGCTGGGCGAGTGGCTGGTGAGTGCCGTGGTTGAACGACTGAGTGAGTGGGTATTTGAACAGTCACGGGTCAAGAGCATCTGTGCAAGAGGGGTTCAAGGAGCCTCTGGTTCACAAAACGACAGCTAACAGCTCAAATGATCCTCGTCCCTCGTCCACCCCCTCCTCTCTACCAACTGCCGTCCCCCCCCCCTCCTGTCACAACCTCCCCTTCCAGGCGGAAGTGCTGCTCTTGCCGAGCCTGAGCCACCCGAACCTGGTGCGCCTGGTGGGGTACTGTGCAGAGAAGGGGGAGGCGCTTCTGGTGTACGAGCTCTGTGAGAACGGCAGCCTGGACGACAAACTCTTCCCCTGTGAGCCTCTCTTCCCCTGTGAGCCTCTCTTCCCCTGTGAGCCGCTCTTCCCCTGTGAGTCGCTCTTCCCCTGTGAGCCTCTCTTCCCCTGTGAGCCCCTCTTCCCCTGTGAGCCTCTCTTCCTCTGTGAGCCCCTCTTCCCCTGTGAGCCCCTCTTCCCCTGTGAGCCCCTCTTCCCCTGTGAGCCCCTCTTCCCCTGTGAGCCCCTCTGTCCGTCTCCTCGAGCGCTCATCCCTATATCACTGTTTCTCTAAATCTCGCCCGCGTCTTGCTCTCCCCTCATCCTGCGTCTCCCCTCAATCGTTCCCACCCTCTGACACCTCAATTCCTCCCCCCAACCCCTCAACCCCTCACCCCATCACCACCTCACCGCTTCCCCCCTCAACCCCTCATCTCCTCATCCCCTCCTCCCAGCGCGCATGGAGGAGACGTTTGACTGGAATTCGCGCCTGCGACTCTCCGCTCATCGTGTGCCCCCCCTCCTCTCATTCTCCCGCCCTCTCACACTTCACCCCGTTCCTCCGTCCCTACCCACACATCTCCCGCCCAGCGCGCACGGAAGTGGTGTTTGACTGGAACTCGAGGTTACGGGTGGTGCAGGGCACAGCGGGCGCGCTGGTGCATCTTCACGAGCACAACGTCATTCACCGCGACCTCAAGCCTTCGAATATCCTGCTGGGGGAGGTGAGGGGCGACGTAGGGGTTTTGAGGGGGGAGGGGGGAGTGTGTGTGTGCGTGTGCCTGCAGCTGGTGCATCTGCACGAGCACAACGTGATTCACTGCGACCTCAAACCATCAAACATCCTGCTGGGGGAGGTGAGGCGCGAGGGGCAGTGAGGGTGAGAGGTAAGGGAAGAGATGGGAGGTGGGAGGGCGTGTTGTTGCGGCATGCTCATTGCCCTTCACAATGCTGCTATTTCACATGCATGAATTGCCCACATTCCACACCCTTGGTAGTGTACACACACTGCTGCACTGCACACACACAGTTCTTCGCACCCCTCATCTTTCCCACCTGACGCCTGCTGGCGTTGCTGTGCGTGGGGCATGGGGGCATGGGGGCATGGGGCATGGGGCATGGGGCATGGGGTATGGGACATGGGGCATGGGGGCATGGGGCATGGGGCATGGGGTATGGGACATGGGGCATGTGTGCATGGGGCATGGGGGCATGGGCCATGGGGCATGGGTCACGGGGCATGGGTCACGGGGCATGGGGGTATGGGGCATGGGGGTATGGGGCATGGGGGTATGGGGCATGGGGGAGATGGGGCATGCTGGCACTGCAGGCCATGGAGGCGAAGCTGACGGACTTTGGGATGGCGAAGCAGGCAGCGGAGGGAGTGAGCCATGTGAGCACGCGGGTCATGGGCACGCTGGGCTACCTCGACCCCGCCTACATGGAAACAGGTGCGTCTTTTGAGGTGACGTTTGAGGCGCCTCATAACTTATGATGCGACTTTTGAGGTGCCTCAAAGGCAGCGGAGGGAGTGAGCCATGTGAGCACACGAGTCATGGGCACGCTGGGCTACCTCGACCCCGCCTACATGGAGACTGGTACGTCCCTGTTGCTGCCCACGTGGGGTGCTGCTTTCCACATGGAATGCCGCTGCTCTTGCTGGGTACATACAGGCCACGCTCCAGCTTCCAGTTTCCCTTTCGTAGAACAACACACACTGCTTTCATCTGGCAGCTCCAGCTTCCAGTTTCCCAGGCTGTGTACGTGAGGCGAGCGACCTACTCTCATCTGGAATCATTCTGCAGCGAATTCTCACAGGAAAAGACGCCTATGGTGCTCCCTGCTTGATGTTTCCTCGCCGCCTTCCCTCCTCCCCGCTCCCCTTCCTCCCCCTCACCCCCGCATCTGCCAGGCTGTCTACGGGAAAAGAGCGACGTGTTTTCGTTTGGAATCATCCTGCTGCAGGTGCTGACAGGGAAGGACGCAGTGGACGAGCGGAACATCAAGCTGGCAACAGCCATGCACAAGCACCTGCACCCCAACGTGGTCGACCCTGACAAGTGGATGGACCCAAAGTTGCAGGGCAAGTACCCGAGGAAAGGTGCGCTCATGATGGCAGCGATCGCCAAGCAGTGCATCGCTGATAATGCCGAGGACCGACCGGAGATGAGCGACGTGGAGGAGTTTCTGAATGACATCCAGATGATGTAGCAGCAGAGGGGATGGATGGGTGGGTGGCGTTCCGACTTCCAGTGTTTTGGGAATGTGGTGGTTTTTGCAGCATCTGTGTGCTGTAAAGGTTTCTGGGGGAATGGTTGTGGCTGGCTGGATGGTTCGTGTGGTTCTGCTGCTGTGTTGAGAGGCCAGGCTTCTCAGAGGCTAAAGTCTCACCTGCGTCTGCACGACAAGTACTTGAGGCTAAAGCTTCACCTGCGTCGCCAAGCAGTGCGTTGCTGAGCAAATGAGCGACGTGGCACCGTTTCTGCATGTTATTAAGCACAGTGACGTCAGTGGGTAGCTGGCATTCCCACTATAAGGCTGCATGTTTCTGGTGGCTTCTGCAGCAGTTGTGGCGTGCACACCTCTCAGAGAATCATTCGGCTGGCTCGACTGTTCTCGGCGGTCTATGACAGGCGAGGCTCCTCAATAAGCATAGAAAATCGATGGCTCGAAGGGATATACATGGCTTGTATTTCGAGCATGCTTGGACTAATTATTACGGGATTACTACCATGTAGAATAGCTCGGCACCATAATGTCAGGCTGGCTGAAGGTGAGACATTTCCTGATATTGGTTTTTGTCATAAGCTTTAATGCTAGTGGCTAGCTTTAGCTTTAGTTTCTGTTATTCGCCGCTGAGTTTCTAGTAGCATGCCCAGTCAATAACGAGGTAATGAAACAATCCTGCTCTCCTCTTCAGCTCGGAACTCCCAAGGGTTGCCTCATTTCCAAGTTCCAACTCCTGCCTGCATTTCCGTCAACAATGCCAGTCAATCAGGTAGCCACAGGAATGTGTGAGTACAAGCATCGAGAACGCGTGCTTGTAAGCATCGAGAACGCGTGCTTGTAAGCATCGAGAATACGTGCTTGTAAGCAACGAGAAAGTGTGACTATAAGCAACGAGGACGCGAGAATATGAGTAACGGGAATGCAAGCAACACGAGTGCGTGATTAGAATTAGCGGGAATGCGTGATTGAGTGGTTCCTCTTGCGACCTCTCCACGATGCCCACGCGGCTTCTGTACACGTTACTTTGGCTCCTCGTCCTATGCAACTTATTCAATGTCGGGTTACCAGCATCTCGCGAGAACGAGACTTCGCGCGAGAGCGTCGCGACTGCGGATGAGATCGTTGCAGGGAGAGTGGACGAAATGGAATCCGAGTTGGAAGAGGCGTTGGCTGGAAGGAGGGAAGGGGATGCAGCAGCAAAAAAAGTTTCGAGCATGACACCAGTAGACAACACGAGCCTCACGGTCGGCGACAAGCACCGCTCTCCACCGCTTTCTGTTTCAGTGGTCCTGCAGTCTCTCTCAACCGCCTCCCCTGCAGCAGCCAATGCCTTGCTAAGAGCAGACTCGTTACCAGCACAAGCAGCAGCACGGGATAGCTCGGTTGTTGTAGCTGCTCCCTCTGCACCTTCTCCTTCACACAGCAGCGCATCAGAAACGGGGAGGACAGTTGATGTGGACTGGGGGAGGGTGAACTGGGGGAGGGCCATTACCCTGAAGGAGAGGGAGGCGGAGGAGCGAGCCAAAGTGGGTGCAAAGCGGTGCTATGGGATGCAGAGGGCGTTCCGCATGGGGTTTGAGAGGGGCAGCATGGCGTGGGAACCGCAGGCTGATCGTTACGTGCTCATGGACTGCCATCGCAACCAGGTGCGTGTGGTAACCAGGCGGGATGTCAGGAGTAACTTAACCTTTCGAACACCCTAAGCTACACACTCCAATAACCAACCAACGGGCTGATCGCTATGTGCTCACGGACTGACATCGCAACCAGGTGGGTGTGATAACCAGGTGGGTGTGGTAACCAGGTGCGTGTGGTAACCAGGTGCGTGTGGTGTGGTAACCAGGTGGGTGTGGTAACCAGGTGCGTGTGGTAACCAGGTGCGTGTGGTAACTAGGTGCGTGTGGTAACCAGGTGCGTGTGGTAACCAGGTGGGCGTGGTAACCAGGTAGGCATGGTAACCAGGTGCGCTGGTAACCAGGTGCGTGTGGTAACCAGGTGGATGTGGTAACCACGTGGGCGTGGTAACCAGGTGCACGTGGTAACCAGGCAATTGTGATTACCAGGCGGGATGTCAGGGAGTATCTCAGCCTTTCAAACACCCTAAGCAACACATTTCGGTCAACTAACAACGTGCTGATTGCCAGGGTGCAAAAAATCGCAGAATTTTTCCTTTTTTGCCAAAATTCTCCCTGTCATTTTTTTCAATAATTTCGGTCCGCAATAATAGTTGTATCTTGGTGGAAAGTTTTGCCCGAAATATTCAAAAAATAAAAATCGTATGTACCTGGCATTTCGCTGCTGGATCTAGGCGGATCTGGCATTTTGCCGCTAGATCTAGGCGGATCTGGCATTTCGGTGCCAGGAAAATTTAGGCAGTTTTTTTGTTTGTTTGTTTGTTTGTGTGTGTGTGTTTTTTTTTTTTTTTTTTTTAGGTCTACTACAATTTCGCCGAAAGATTCAACGGCCACAAATTTCCGGTGCGAAAATTTCTCTAAGCGCAATTTTCCACCCTGCTGATCGCTACGTGCTCATCAACCCACCGCAACCAGGTGGGTCTGGTAACTGGGTGTGGTAACCAGTTGGGGTGTGCTTCCAAAGTTCATGGCATATTTCAGTCCATGTAAGTGTGTCTGGGGCAGGTGTGGCATGCTAAATGCCATATGTTATGTCTGCTCTCTCACCCCCCATGGCTCCTATCCATCGTTCCTCATGAATGCATATGTGCATGTGTCCATGTGTGCATGTGTCCATGTATGCATGTGTCCATGTGTGCATGTGATGTGTGCATGTGTCCATGTGTCCATCCATGTGCTCCTCTCTGCTTGCTCCACACCCCACTCCCCAGATGAGCAACCGCATTCGCTGCATCAAGAACCACCTGCTGGTAGCAGGAGTGTTCAATCGCACCCTCGTGGTGCCCCTGCGAGCGAATGAGGTCACCCGTCACTACGACCGCCGCACCTTCTTCCACCTCCCGGTGCGCTGCTCTCTGATTGCTGCTTGCTGCTCTCTGCTTGCTGCTTGCTTCTCTCTGCTCTCTGCTGGTGTCGGGAATGTTCAACTGCACCCTCATGGTGCCCCTGCGAGCAGACGAGGTCACCCGCCACTACGACCGCCGCACGTTCTTCCACCTCCCGGTGCGCTGCTCACTGCTTGCTGCTCGCTGCTTGCTGCTCGCTTCCCTCTTCTCTCTTCTCTCTGCCCGCGTCTCTCTGCTTGTTGTTTGCTTCTTCTGGCCTACCAGCAGGCGTTAGTTTAGCGTTTCATCTCTGCACCGTGCTCCTATCCCGCCTCACCTGGCTCGCTTTCTCCTCTGCTTTGGCAATCCTCTGTGACCCCACACTGCCCCAACCAGCACACGCGGCTGTGCTACAGGCCAAGCTCGGCCATCTCCTTGGATGACCTGCTCGCTCTGCCTGTGTCGTTTGCTCCTGCGGCCTGGTCCTATCTCACCTCACCTGCCTTCCTTGTTTCTTCCTGCAATCCTCTGTGACCCCACCCCACACTGACTGCCCCCACCAGCACACGCGGCTGTGCTACGGGCCAAGCTCGGCCATCTCCCTTGACGACCTGCTCGCTCTGCCTGCTGCGACAGCCCCTGCAGCCGGGTCGGAACCCGCACCAGCAGGTTCGGAAACAGGAGCAACAGCAGAAGCCCTGAGTGCCACAGTGCAAGTGGACCAGGTGCTGTGTCTGCAGAAGCAGTGCTACAACCAGTCTTCTGCTTCCCGCGATGACCTCCCCTCCCTCTCCGGCATCACCTACCCTCCGAACCTCACGCTCACGATCGGCAACGGCCCTGAGCCTCTGGAGATCCCGAAGCTCCTGGCACTGCAATCTTTGATTCAGCCAACCGCCAGGGTTATTCTGGTTGGGGATCTGGGATCCGTGCATCTCACGTTTCCAGGGAAGAATTACCTGGACGTTCCTTTTAGGCAGTCTCCTGAATGCCCTAATGCTCTGGCTGTGGCTCCGCACCCTGCTATCCTGGAAGCTGCTAGGGAGTTTGTTCGCAGTGTGGTGCTGCTGGGCGCCAGGAGGAAGTGGGAGGCTGCTGATGCTGCTCTGGAAACGGAAGGAGGTAGAGTTGCTAACCAAGAGCAGCAGCAGCAGAGGAAGCTGCAGCAGGAGGAAGAGGGGAGGCAGGGAGGGAAGGAGCAGGAGGGAAGGCGTGCAGTTGGTCGGTACGTGGGGGTGCATTGGAGGCGAACGGACCTGATGCAGCACAGCAACCCCAATGCACGGCTCAGTGTGGAGCATGCGGGTGCATGTCTGGTGAAGGCCATGGGCATGGCTGGGAACATCTCCACCATGTTCCTCGCCTCCGATACTGACGACCGCGAGGTGAGGGGGATGACAAGGGGATTGCTAATTGGTGCGCTGTGCTGCTTGTACACTGTGTAACACTTTCAGTGAACCTTGTTTTCTCACTCGTGATGCCCTTCTCCACAGGTGGAGGCACTGGAGAAGTTTATGAAAGAAAGGATTTCGGGCTTTAAGTTGATTCAAAGACCCAAGGATTTTGAAGATGAAGCATGGGCAGCAGTGCTCAAGCCTTACAGATTCCAAGATGATGTGTCGCTGACAGCGACTCTAGACAAGGCTATTTGTGCCATGGCAGATGTGTTTCAAGGAACCGCCGCATCTTCGTTCTCACTAGATATTAGAAGGTTGAGGACTGGGCTTCGCTTGACAACGTGTTCTGATACGGATATATGCACTAAAACATGATTCTTCTTTGTTATCTATTCATGACTGAAAAGAGTGGCTAATACATTTTGTTTTGCTTCGTCTGAGCTAGGCAACAAGGTACAGTAAGTTGCTACACCATCTCCCACGACGTCATCACACCTCGGGATTCCGACGAGCTGACTCCCTCCCCGCACTTTCTTTCTGACACCAAAATCCTCAAATTCCTGTCAATTCAGAAAGTAGTTTCGTTCTGTTCTTGGGTCAAACAGGCTGTGAGCATGAACGGCCTTGCATCAACCTGCGTCGCCGCCCAACGGTTATCCCATCTACCGTCAGAAATGGCGGGAAAATGCAGTTTTCCGCCTCTCCTGAGTTCAACGGGCTTGGAGTCTCAAAGGCAACAGCTGCTTCCTCCGCGTGCGCACTGGCGGGAGTTTTGCGGCCCCAAGCGGGGAACCGCTAGGAGGCTGCGCGCGGGCCCGGATAGCGCAGGCGCGCGGATTTTGCGCGTGTCCATTCCCCGTGCGTCGGGGGGAGAGCAGCGGGATGGCGCGCGGATGAACCGGGACGTGTGGACGCGAGAGGATAGCGCAAGCGGGAGGGGGAGAACAGGGGGAAGGGGAAACGATGGGGGAAGTCGAGGGGGAGCGGAAAGACGGGAACGAGGCCGGTATTCAGAAGAATCTGTGTCCGGGAGAAGAGGGTTTAGGGGGGATGGCGCAGGACGGGGAGGTGCGCGCGTGGAGAGGAGGGGGGAATGGAGGCGGAACGGGGGAGTGGAACGACCGGGGGAGCCGGAGGAAGGGCGCGGGGTGAAGGACACGGGTGGGTTGGTAGGGGAGGCGGGGGAGGGGGAGCAGCAGGGGAAGGAGGAGGAGCAGGAGGTGATTCGAGAGGAAATCTCACCGCACAGAGCAGGTGCGAGGTGTTGGTTGGACGGTGAGCATTGACTTTCTCGGTCAACACAAAGATTGAGGGTTGGAGGTTGCAGGTTGGGGTTTGTGGGAAGGGGCTTCGGGTCGGGGGTTTTGCAGCTGTCATGGCCACAATGCCTCATTGCCTCACAATGCCTCATTGCCTCACAATGCCTCATTGCCTCACAATGCCTCATTGCCTGAAAATGTCTCATTGCCTGAAAATGCCTCATTGCCTGAAAATGCCTCATTGCCTGAAAATGTCTCATTGCCTGAAAATGCCTCATTGCCTGAAAATGCCTCATTGCCTGAAAATGTCTCATTGCCTGACAATGCTTAATTTTTAGCTGTTGTTGCTGGAGGGTGGGGATTATGAGGACATTCGGTTGGACGACGCAGCACCAGGGAAGGAGGCTAATGCAATCCCTTCCACCCCCGCTCCGCACCCCTCTCCCACCCTCCTCTCCATTCCCAGCTGCTGTCGTCCGTCTGCTACGAGTGGAGCAAGGAGGAGCCTATGCCGTCATTCTCTCATGCGCGGCAGCAGGGGAGGGGTTGATTGATTTATTCCCCCCTCCTTCCCTTCCCCTCTCTCCCCTCTGCCACCACTGCCACTGCCACTCCCAGCGGCTGTCGTCCGTGTGCTACGAGTGGAGCAAGGGGGCGCCTATGCCGACATCCTCTCAGGGGCAGCAGCAGGGGAGGGGAGGGGCATAATTCAAATCTTTCCTGCTGTCCCTCTCCCCCCGATCGCTGCCCCCACTGCAATCCCCAGCTGCTGTCGTCCGGCTCCTACGAGTGGAGCAAGGAGGAGCCTATGCCGACATTCTCTCAGGGGCAGCAGCAGGGGAGGGAGCAGGGGGGTGGGAGCTGGAGATGCAGTATGTACGGCGGACGCTGGGCTTTGCCGTTTTGCCTTTGGAGGGGCGGGGAAGGCGGCATGTGACTGAGCTCGTGGCAGGTGTCACCCGGTGGAGGCGCTATCTGGATTTTCTACTCTCAGAGTTTTTTTCGGGCAGCCCGAGCGAGCTGGATAGGATGGAGCCGCTGCTGAAGCAGGTTGGTAGCCTGTGCTGTGCTTTACATTGCCGTCACCTGCGTGTGGTGTGCTTAAGGCAGTCAGTTTATCCTGCCTCGAGAGCCATGTGCTGTGGTCTATTATGCTGAGAGGGACCTTCCTTCTTGAATTGGGGGATGCTGCGATAGAGGCGACAAGAAGTGTACTATTACCAAATCATTGTTCCTTCCTCCTTCCCCTCTCCCCTGCATCTCCTGTTCTCCTCGTTTGTAGATTCTCCGTTTGGGGATGTTTGAGCTTGCAAAGATGGACACACCCCCACATGCGGCAGTCAACGAGGTGAGTGCAGGTGTGCAAAAGAGTCAGTGATCACTCTAATCCACACATGTACACTCATCATTCACCAATGATTCACTCTAATTCTTTGCAGGCAGTCAAGCTCGCTCGGGCAGCCTTACGGCCAGGAGCCGCCTCATTGGCTAATGCTATTTTGCGGGCAGCTGTTCGGGCACAGGTGCGTCACAAAACACAAAGGTTGGGCTGCGAGAATACGTGAGCGAATGTAAGTTGTGCGGGGTGCCGGGGCGAAAAGGAAGAAGGGGGAAGGGGGTGGCATTCTGCAGTAGAAGGGGGAAGGGGGTGATGGCAGCTCGCCCCGCTTTCATGGCATGATTTTGGGGCTGAGGAGGTGCTTGGGGTGCCTCAAACCCACTGGGCTCGATAATTGCACAACCCAGCTGTAGCCGGGATGCGCTAATTGTGCGGATGGCCTTGTTCAATGACATATCTTCCTGCTCCTCCTGCCTCCTCCCCCCCTCCCCGTTCCCCCCGGCACGGCACCAGGAGCAAGGGCCACTGCCAGCCCCATCGCTGCATGATGCGATGACAGACCGGGACAAGGCGCGCGCCCTGACTTTTGAGTTGACTGAAAAGCCTCCCCCCCACCCCCCCTCTCGCCTGTACCACACCAGGAGCAAGGGCCACTGCCAGCCCCATCGCTGCACGACGCAATGACAGACCGAGACAAGGCGCGCGCGCTCGCTACCCTGCACTCTCACCCCGTGGTATGTGTGTGTCTGTGTGGTTATACACATGCATGCACGGGATGCACGCATGCACACAAGGCACGCTCCCTCGCCACCCTGCACTTTCACCTCCTTCTCTCCCACTCCCCTTCCCCGCTGCAGTGGATGGTGCGGCGGTGGGCCGACAGGCTGGGGTGGCGCGAGGCAGAGCGGCTCATGGAAAGCAACAACGCTCGCCCCGTCTTCTCCCTCAGGTGAGACTACTTCTGTGGTGCCCCTATAGAACGTCTTGCTTTAGAGGCGCCTCAAAAGCCGACAGACTTTTGAGTCGACTCAAAACGAGATGACTTTTGAGTCGACTCAAAAGCTACTTCTGTGGTGCCTCTATAGAACGTCTTGCTTTAGAGGCGCCTCAAAAGCCGACAGGCTGGGGTGACGAGAGCCAGAGCGGCTGATGGAGAGCAACCCCTCAACGCCCGCCCTGTCTTCTCCCTCAGGTGCCCAGCCTCTAAGCTTTGTAGACTTCCGTTCCAAAGCTATGCTCCCACTCGTTTTGCAGGCTTCTAAACCATGACACTTGTGATTTTTTTTTCCCCCTCTCTCACTCAGCTCCCTCCCCCTCCCGTTCTAATTTTCCTCTCTGCCCCTTCTACCAGCATATTAATCCCACCCCGTCCCCCCCTTCTCTCCCAACACTGCCATGGCCATGCATGAGGGCCAACAGTGCAAGAAGTCATCAGACAGAGCACCAGAGTGCTGCAGTTTCCAGAAGTCCATGGTCCATTACCACCATGACCATGCGTCAGGGCCAACGCTGCCAGAGGTCATTGGACAACAGCACCTAGGACTGCAGCGCCTAGGACCTAGTCTATGCAAGTTGCTCTCTCTCCCCCTCTCCCCCTCTCCCCCTCTCCCCCTCTCCCCCTCTCCCCCTCTCCCCCTCTCCCCCTCTCCCCCTCTCCCCCTCTCCCCCTCTCCCCCTCTCCCCCTCTCCCCCTCTCCCCCTCTCCCCCATCACCACCACGACCATGCATCAGGGCCAACACTGCCAAAGGGGTATCGCGATCCGATCTGCACTCCTTGCTGCTGGCGCTCCCTGAGGTAAACTGCTTCACCTGATGCCTTCTCCGTGCCAGCTCATTCCGTCTCGTGCCACCTCATGTCATCACTATGCCAGCTCGTGCCACCTCATGCCACAACCATGCCAGCTCGTGCCAGCTCATGCATGCTCTTGCGAGTGCTTTCATGTGTCTACATGTGTGTGTGTTCACCTGCCCGCCTCTCTCACCAACCAACCACAGGTGGAGATGGAGGATTCATCATACCTGGACGATCTCGTCCGCGTGCGTGCGGGCATGCAGCATGTTCTTACAGCAGGGCTCATAGGGTCTGTCTGTGTCCATGTGCGTCTACGTGTGTGTGTGTGTGTGTGTGTGTGTGTGTGTGTGTGTGTGTGTGTGTGTGTGTGTGTGTGTGTGTGTGTGTGTCTGTGTCTGTGTGTGTTTTCGTACCACTCTCAACAACCAACCACAGGTGGAGGTGGAGGATTCACCGTACCTGGACGATTTCATCCGTGTGAAAGCGGGCATGCAGCATGTGCTCACAGCGGGGCTCATAGAGGACGGCTCGTGCAACGTGCAGGATGAGAGTGCAGGTGGGGTGCAGGTAACCAGGTAACCAAGTAACCAGGTGGGGATGACGGGTGGGGGAGTGCAGGTGGGGAAATTATGGTAATTAGGTAATGCAGCATGTGTGTTCACAGCAGGGCTTATAGAAGATGGGTCGTGCAACGTGCAGGATGAGAGTGCAGGTGGGAGTGTGATGGGTGCATGTAACCATGTAACCAGGAGAAAGTGCAGCATGTGCTCACTATAGCGCCCATAGAGGATGAGAGTGCAGCACAGGATGAAAGTGCAGGTGGGGGAGTGGTGGTGGACCGTGGAGGGGTGCTGGTGCCGAAACCAGGAGAGGCGGTGCTGGACTGCTGGTACCGCCTCTCCTGGTTGTGGCACCGCCTCTCCAACTTCCAAGACGTCTCAACCCCCCACCCTCCCCTCCCCTGTCTCGCCCTCTCCGCTACCCCCTGTGACTACAGGGTTGGTGGTGCGAGTGTTGGATCCCCAGCCAGGGGAGACGGTGGTGGACTGCTGTGCTGCGCCGGGGGGCAAGGCTATGTATGCCGCTGGGCTCATGCAGGGGACAGGTGGGTCATGGAAGCAAGTGTGCGATCATGGGTGTGTGCATGCTTGCTACACGTCATTGCCATAACTCACCACCACTGGTACATCGCATTTCATCTCATCTTGTCACATAGCGTTATATCTCACCTCATCCCTCTCTCACCTCTCACGTCTCCCGTCTCCCCTTTCCCCTCCCCTCTCTCGATCCCTCCCCTCTCTCGATCTCTCCCCTCTCACCGGCAGGGCGGCTGGTGGCAGTGGATGTGAACGAGGGGCGAGTGCGCATGGTGGCGCAGGCAGCACAGCGGCAAGGGCTGCAAAGCACAGTGGAGTGTGTCGTTGCTGACCTACGGTCCTATGCGGTGAGCCACACACCTGTGCTGGGTTGTGTACGATGTAGAGGTGTGCTGTGCGGTGCAGTGTGTCGTTGCTGACCTACGGTCGTACGCGGTGAGCCCCATGTATCCACTGCACTGCCTTGTTCTGTAACGCTGTGTAACGCATGGATACCATGGGCAGAATCCATTTCCTCTATTCTCCCTTTCCCGTGTGTAGTGAGTCGATTTTTGAGTCGATTTTTGAGTCGACTCAAAAATGGATACCATGGGCAGAATCCATTTCCTCTATTCTCCCTTTCCCGTCCCCCAACCCCCCGCACCCCCCTTCCCCACCAAGGCCCAGGCCCCCATCCAAGCGGCATGACCGCTGCATGTGGCAGCAGACAGAGTGCTACTGTATGCACCTTTTGTAATTATCGAATGTGACTATAACAACGTCCTCACCTCCATTTCCGTCCCGGCACCCGCCTTCCCCACCCTACCCACCCACCCCACGCAACCCCCCCAAACAGGCGGCATGCCCCCTGCGTGGGGCGGCAGATCGAGTGCTGCTGGATGCCCCCTTGAGAGCTCTCATAAGTGATTCATTCAAACTTCTTCCTTCATCCCCTTCCGTTCCTCCGGTACCTCCCCACCCCACCCCACCCCACCCAACCGTTTCATCCAGGTGTCATCCCCCCTGCGTGGGGCGGCAGACCGAGTGCTGCTGGATGCCCCCTGCTCCGGCCTTGGAGTGCTGGCCAAGGTGGGCATGGGGAGAGGTGACTGTAAGCAGTGGTGATTGTATGAGGAGGAGAGCGAGGGGATATGTGATTTTAAGGAGTGCTGCTGGATGCGCCATGCTCTGGCCTTGGGGTGCTGGCCAAGGTGGGTGGGCCGAGATGAGTCGCGGCGAGGTGAATGGGGGGAGAGAGAGGTGCTCGTAATGTAAGGTGAGTGTAAGCTGAGCTGATAGCTGGTAGATGTTAACAATGTGACTGAAGCAGAAGGCAGAAGTGGTGCACACAGCACAGGCCACCAGGACTGAGCACACGACACATGCTGACAGTTTCTACCCCACACACGGTAACAGATTCTACCTTCACCTCTCACACTGCTGGCCTTATCTCGTGCCCCGTTACCATCAGCCATCCCCCCCCCCACCCCCTTCCCCCCCCTCACAGAGGGCGGATCTGAGGTGGAGGCGGACAGTGGAGGGGGAGGCGCAGCTCACAGCCCTACAGGACGACCTGCTGGATGCTGCTGCCAGGTGGGGTGCTGACGTGGATGCTGCTGCCATGTGGGGTGCTGACGTGGATGCTGCTGCCAGGTGGGGTGCTGACGTGGATGCTGCTGCCAGGTGGGGTGCTGACGTGGATGCTGCTGCCAGGTGGGGTGCTGACATGGATGCTGCTGCTGTTGCTATGTAGGATGCGCATGTCACAGAGGGAGGCGACACTAACGTGACGTGACTTCCCCCGCTCTCCCCATCCTCCCTCTCCGTGTCCCTCCAACTTTCTCTTTTTCTACACACAACAACCCCCTCCCCTCCATTCTCCCCCTCCCCCTCCCCCTTCCTTCGACCGCCACCTTGTTGACCAGTTTGGTGCGGCCGGGGGGGCTGTTGGTGTATTCCACATGCTCCATAGAGCCATCGGAGAACGAGGACAGGATCACCACCTTCCTGCAATCACACCATGTATGACTCTTGCTCATCCCCGCTCTCCGGTATCATTCTGTGTGGGATCTAAACTTTTCCAAGTGTTGTTGCTGGTTTGATTCTTTTTTCCTACATACTCGTCGCCAGTGCGTCATGCTGAGTAGTAGCAAGCATGTGGCATGCTGAGGTGTCTTACTGAGTCATGTCTGTCGTTTCATTCAGTTGAATGTTAAATCGTCTCATTTTTTGTGCTCATGCGGGGTAGCCAAATCTTTCTTCCATGCCTGCAGGAGTTTGTTTTGGAGTCACTAGATGCGTCAGTATTGCCCGAATCGATGATCTCACGCCTTCGTTGCTTTGCATCACTACCGCACCGCCACGCAATCGACGGGGCATTTGCTGCTCGTTTACGAAGGCGGGAGTTGTGATATTAGTGTTTCCTTGGTATTGTCCTTGGGTTATATTTGTCAGATGTTGAGAGGAAGCCATAGAGAGTACAAAACGGAAGAATGCTGGTCATATATTAACATACATTCGCATGTGCTGTACTGAACTGCAATAACGAGCTACGGAGGTTTGTGAGGACGGGGTACCGTACCCCCAGGGCAGTGGCTATGGTGTTGCTAAACTGCAAACTGGGCACCCCGAAACTTGCAGCTTTCCGCTGTCCACTTTTCTTGTCGGGAGGGAGTCCCTTTTGCAAACGCCTTTTGGCCGTAGCGTTGACAATTTTCGAAAGCCCCGGGCAACAATGGGACGGATAAGGGCATGTCCGAAGTGACATGTCGATGGATGTCGACGGATGTCGACGGATGTCTGGGTAGGTAGGTGAGAATTTTCAGGCCGGCGTTGTGTCCGAAGTGATTCGACATCCATCCGACATCCATCCGACATCCATCCGACATCCAGCCCTGCGTAATCATTACAGTCAAGGGTGCCGCCAACAGTGATATCGGGCTGGTCAACGAGGAAGTCAACGAGCCCAATTTTTGATAGCAAAATTTGAGGGGGAAACCTGGCGAAAGTAACAGTGGGTAAACGACAGCCCTTGTGACTTGCACGGGGTGACGAAAAGTTCGCGAAATTCGTTAGATTCAAAATTGAACCTTCAATATTCTCTCTGGTCTGCCCTTGCTGGCGCCAACAGTGCCGGACGGCATTGTTTCGGGCAGTTATGTCGCCGGCAGTGTGTCCGAAGTGCCTCGACATCCATCCGACATCCATCCGTCATCCCCCGTCATCCGCCACAGACATCCGTCCGATGACGGATGAATGACGGATGGATGTCGAAGGGCACTTCGGAATGAGCATTCCATCCCCTGCTGTCGCTGGAACGCGTTTCGCCTACTTTCCCCTCGAGTTTTTTGCCAAGTTACCCTCAACCACCTTGGGTACACCGGGCGCTCGAGTGCGCATCGCCAGGAAGGGACTGGGTGTAGATCGAAGACTTGTCTCGCCAGCAGCCTCGCGCTGACCACAGGACACACATGCCACATCAGAACGCGACGCATTGACTAATCACTTGTCGCCTTCCCTCGCGCGGAGAAACCGAGGCCGGGCTATCTCATCCGCCAATCCTGCACCGCGCGGGTCATCTTTCGTACCGCGCGCAACCTTGGGATTTCGAGGGACTGTTCATCGGGGTTTCCGCATTCTTTGGGACTTGCCGGGGTTCCTCCTCTCTCTTCTGCCCCACAGCCAGCGTTACCTTCCACTCCACCACGTCACTCCTGTGCCTCGGCGAGGTAGGCGAGCTACCTGGACCCGAGACGTCAAGACGGACTGTGTAGGGAAGCGCATCCCGCGCGTGGTTTTCCTGTCTAGTGTCGTTCGTTGACACCAGAGCTTGAGTTGAGCGTGGTTTTCTTCACTCTCCGAAATTGTTAGGCACTATTCCTGATTACGAGACCTAAGTGTCGGGCTACTTCTAGTCGCATTTCTCTGGTCCGGTTTTATTTCTTCAAAGCTTAGTATTTCTTTTCTGGCAATGGACGCGTCGTCGCAGTTTTTCCGTCAGGCAATTGAGCAACGCTCGTCGCCTCCCTCGCTGCCTGACTGCAAGGCATGTAGATGATACGAGCCGCCAATCGCAGCAGCATCAGTCTTCACAGCAACAATCCTAGCCCTTAAATAGAGCGCTTTGGGAGGTAATTAGTAGCATTTTGATACGGAAAATAACAATGCTGCCACGTCTCTAAGGTCCCGTACCCCTAGTCCGTAAATCACTACCTCGAAATCTACTTACGTTAATTTAAACACTTAGACTGATCGTGAAGCTTCATTATTTTGTCGTTTTGCTGGGAAGCTTGGCTGAGGAAGGATAACATCCTGGCATCTGCTGTAGCTGGCAATGTCGTGCCAGGGATTGGCCATGCTTGATCCTCCTAGAGACAGGCAGGGCTTTCCCGAAGCTGCAGGACGCGGGGATTTTGTAGGTTCGGGACAAAGCGGAGGAGGTTCGGCGAGAGGAGGAGCAGGTTCGAGGGGGAGAACCGACTCCGCCTATGGAGTCGGGGACGGAGGCGGAAGCGGAGAAGGAGGCGGAGCAAGCGGAACAGGACCTCCTGCATTGCCCGCGCGCGGAGGAGGTCGAGTGTCCGCTATCCGCAGCTTCTTTCCGCGCAGCCGGTCGGTGTCCGTGGATTATTCCGCCTCTTCCTCCTCTCCTCTAGGTATCCCCGGAAGCAGCGCCAGCTCCAGGCGCAACTCCGAATCCGAAGATCCCCGCCGATCCTCCCCCCTCGGGTCCCCTGGGGGGCAGCGCGGCGGGGGAGGCGGAACGGCGGGGGACCCGCGGCAAGCGTCCCGACCTCCACCGCGCTACGATCCGCGCATGGGTCGGCATTGTTCCCCCCTCGGCGGTTCCGCGCTGTCCCCCGCTCCCCGCCCCCCATCCCCGCTTCTCGAGTCATCGTTCCCCGTCTCAGCAATCCAATCAGACCCTAGCGCCACCGCCGCCGGCGGCGATGGAGTATCCGGGAGACCAACGAACAGTTCCGTTCAACAGCTGCGGTCGAACCGCCACCTACGCACACATTCGGTCGACGTATCGTCCATCGATTTCGCCTTCCACGTTCCCGATCAAGGGGGGCTGGAGGCGCAGGGGGCACCGGGCGCAGCGGAAGGAGTCGGCGCAAGGGGAAGCGCGGGGGAAAGGGCAGCGGGCCCGCCACCAAAGTCCCCCTCGGGGTTCAGATTAGGGTTTGGGCTGGGTATTCGCCCCAGCAGCAGCCATGGCGGCCGCCCCAACACTAGCCACGGGCGCTTGGGAGGCGGAGCAACGTCGGCGAGACCGGGAAGCGGGGGAAGCAGACCGGGAAGCGGCGGAAGCAGACTGGGAAACGCGGCCGAGGGGAACGGCGGTCCGGAGCAGAGTCAGGGGCGGGGCGGGCGGGCGCACGCGCGGCGGGCGTCAGTGGACTTCGGGTCGATGGGCGCAGGTATCCCCGCTTCCGCCAGTGAGCCGCTATCCCCGTTTGAAGCAGCCAAAGCGTCGCTCTTTGCGAGTCAGCAACGCCAGCGGGCTGGGATGGGGGGAGGGATGGCGGAAGGGATGGGGGGAGGGGCGGGCGGAGGGGTACCGAGGCGCAGCAGCGTCGACGGCTCCGGGCGCGCGATTGAGTCCCCCCGGTCAGCGGCCAGGCGCGGGCTGCAGTACGGGTTCGGTTCGGATAACCGCGGAATGGAGGTTCGGGCTGAGGCTCGGAGCCCTATAATGCTCGGAGCACGCGCTCGGCACAGGCTCTCCGCAGGCTCGGACTCTGTTGATTCAGGTGGGAGCGAGTCTCCTGCGTTTTCACCTGAGGGTTCGGTGTCCCCGCATGGGGGGGCGCTGCCGGGGAGCAGGAGCACGGGAAGCGCGCCGATGGGGGGATTCGCTGGGGGGATGGGGGGTGCGCTGTCTAGCTGGGGAGCTAGGCGCGCGGGGATCAACCCGCCGCGGCTGCAGGTGGAGGTTCACGCGGAAGAAGAGGAGGGGGAGGGGGAGGGGGAGGAGGGGAATGTGTATGTGGTAGATGAGGAGGAGGACGAGGGGGAGGAGGGGGGTTCGAAGGACGCACTGTCCCCACTACCAGGAGCAGAGGGAGAACGACAAAATCGCCCGCCCACAGCGGGGAAGAGCAAATCGCCTCTCAAGTCCCGGATAGCCGCAGTGGCGCGGACCTTAAAGCACGGGCTGCACAGCCCCGCGGCTGGCGCCATGGGGGGAATCGGAGGCAGGTTCCGCGGGGGGGGAGGTGGCATGGGGATGGGGGGGATCGCGGGGGCGTTGGGCGGAGGGGGAGGCGCGGAAGCGGGAGGGGCTGGCGCGGGGGGTAGCCGCAGGCACAGGCGCGCAATTTCGGTGGATTTCAACCAGGCGCCGGTGTTCACCGCGGCTTCCCCCCGTGGGGGGCCGGCGGAAGGGGCGGAGCCAGAAGAGGGGGATCTCTCGCTGTCCCTCTCCCCCCCCCACGCGCTATACGCCTCTGGCGGCGCGGACCCCGTGTTTGACGCTATGTCTCCCCGCCTGCTCACTCCCAAGGGTTTCAGCACTGGGTTCGGCGCCGCTGCTGGCCCCGGGCCTGCTGGCTCGGGGCTGCTAGGTTCGGCAGCGCCAGGCTCGGGCGCTGCTGCAGTGGCTGGGCGGCAGCTGGCCGGCCAGCACCGCCGGCACCACTCGTTCGCGGACCAATCCTGGGCGGCAGGGGGAGGGGGATGGGGAGGGGCAGGGGGAGGGGGAGCAATAGAGTCCCCCAGGCGGATGGGGAGCGGGGTGGGCGGGCCAATTCTTCCTCCGCGCAGCCCTTTAACCATGGGGGGAGGGGGGCAGCGGGGCGTGGGGGGATAATTTTAACATAGGGGAATTTACCCCTTCTGCTTTGCAATCACCCAAGCCCCCGCGCTCGCCTTTCCACAACGAATTCTCTCAAGACAGGGCAGCAGCCGCTGCCGCCGCCTCCGCCGCGGGGAGCGCTGCTGCTGCTGCTGGCGCAGGCCAGCTGCCCCTCACGCCTGGGCGGAACCGTGCGCTGGTAGCTGCGCGCGGAGGCGGGGGAGGCGGAGGGGCGCTGATGCGGGGCAGCGCGCGGGAGCGGCCGTCCCCTGAAATGGACGAGGAGGACGACGTGTGGGGCGCTGCTGCTGCAGTAACAGGGGGAGCAGGGGGGGCAGGGGGGGCAGGGGGGGTGAGAGTGGGGGGGGGGCGCGTATGAGCTGCGCAAGGCGGGGAGCAGCAGCCGGCTGGAGCAGGCGCTACAGCCAGACCACCGCGTGCAGGGCTCCCTGGCCTTCAACCGCCTGCACTCCGCGCGCGACCCCCACGCCAGCCCCCCTGCGCCCGCCTCCCCCCTCACCCCCTCCGGCGCCCCTGGCAGAGCGCTCGGCGGGGGGTATCAGGGGTCTGGGCGGGGGGGGTGGCGGGAAAGGCGCGGAGAGGAGCGGGTCGGGGGCGGGGATGGGCGCGGGGCGGGGGGGCATGGGACGTATGGGCGCTACCGCTACCGCTGCTGCTGCTGCTGGTGCTCATGCTGCTGGTGGTGCGCGCAGCAGTGGCGGGGGCACTGGCAGCGGCGGCAGGGGGGGAGTAGTGCCTGCTTGCTCCTCCCTGGACAGTGCTGGCCTGGACGCTTCCCCCCTTGCATTTCTCTCCCACGGCTCTATCCCTGATCGCCCCAGCACTGCCTCTGGCCCCAGCGGTAGGCTCAGGGCAGCAGCGTGGGGGAGAATGAGAGCGGATGGGGGAAGGAGGGACGAGAGGGCGGCGGGCGTGGGTGGGTGGGAAGGGGGAGACGGGGAAGGGGGGGAGGAGGGGGAAGGGGGGGAGCGAGAGCCGCAGCAGCAGCAGTGGCAGAGGAGGCAGGGGAGAGGGCAGGCGGCTGGTGGTGCTGGTGGTGGCGGTGGTGTGGGTGGGTGGGGGGGAGACATCATTGGCAGTAGCAGCAGCAGCAGCGACGCTATTGCTACCAACCCTGCCAGTTCTGCTGCTGCTAATGCCAGCACCGGCGGCGGCGGGGGTAGTAGCAGCAGCGGGGACAGTGGTAGCGCCAGGCGAAACCTGAGGAGGAATATGAGCACGAATTGCCTTATTGCGGCGGGTAAGGGCGCAGGAGCAGGGGCGGGAGGAGGAGGGATGGGAGGCGGAGCCGCAGGGCAAGCAGGTGGAATCTCAGGTGAAAGCACAGGGCTGGATAACCAGGCACAGGGGCACGCAGGGCAGAGGGGGGAAGGGGTGCGGAGGGCAGGCAGCGTGGGGGGGGTCGGGGGGGAAGGGCCAGGCGGGGGGGAGGGGATGCGGGAGGGGGGAGGTGGGGGAGTGGGGGATGGAATGCGGGTGGAGAGGCGGAACACAGTGGATCCCCATGCAGAGCAGTTTCTCAAGAGCCTGAGTCAGTACATCAGCCGGGGGCTTACTGGGGAGCTGGGGCCGTATGGAGGCGAGGGGGAGGGCGAGAAGGGCGATGCGGAAGCCGACATGTGGCAGGTGAGTGCGGTTGTGTGCGGTTCTGTGTGGTTGTGTGTGTGTTTGAGTGTGTGCGTGGGATGAGGCACAAGGCGAAGAGCCTGAGTCAGTACATCAGCAGGGGGCTTACTGGGGAGCTGGGGCCGTATGGAGGCGAGGGGGAGGGCGAGAAGGGGGATGCGGAAGCCGACATGTGGCAGGTGGGTGCGGTTGTGTGCGGTTCTGTGTGGTTGTGTGTGTGTTTGAGTGTGTGCATGTGATGAGGCACAAGGGGAAGATCCTGAGTCAGGACATCAGCCGGGGCTCACGGGGGAGCTGGGGCCGTATGGAGGCGAGGGGGAGGGCGAGAAGGGGGACGCTGAAGCCGACATGTGGCAGGTGAGTGCGGTTGTGTGTGTGTGTGTACGTCCCTGTGTGTGTGTACGTCCCGGTGAGTGTGAGAATGGATGTGTGTGGATTTATTTGTGTCTGAGTGTGTGTAAGCATGTGTGTGTGAGTGAGAATACCTTGTGATGTCAAACTGCGTCCCACCACGCGGTGTCAAAGCATGAGGTGGCAGGATTCCATTCTGTGATGCCGTATGGCCATCAAAATCAGCAGGCCATCAAACAATTCCCCACCCAACCCCACCTGTCCCCACCCATCCCCACCTATCCCCACCCATTTCTACCCCGCTTTCTCCAGGTGATGAGCTCTGGCAGCATGCGGTGGCGGGATTTTATCCTGCGCATGCCGTACGATGACGTGAAGAAGTTCTACTCGGTCAGCGCCACCAAGATCGGCAGCGGGCGGTACGGCGTCATTCGCACGTGTCTGAGCCGCAAGACTCGTGTGGTGCTGGCGTGCAAGACGATAAGGAAGGACCAAGTCAAGGTGAGGGGATGGGTGGGCTGGTGCAAAGGAGGGAATGGGAGGGCTGGGGAGGGGAAAGGAGGTAGTGGGCGCCACCAAGATTGGCAGCGGGCGGTACGGCGTCATTCGCACGTGCCTCTCCCGCAAGACCCGTGTCGTGCTGGCGTGCAAGACGATAAGGAAGGACCAAGTCAAGGTGAGCGATGGGAGGGGATGGGAAGGTTGATTGAAGAGGAGAGGGGAAAGTAGGGAGTGGGTGAGAGTTTGGGAGTGATGAGGCACGGGCGGTACGGCGTCATTTGTACATGTCTGAGCCGCAAGACTCCCGTGGTGCTGGCCTGCAAGACGATCATCCTGGGCATGCTGCGCAACCACCCCACATTGCAACCTCGCACCCTTTCCGCCCCTTCCCACCCCTTCCCACCCCTTCCCACCCCTTTCCACCCCTTTCCACCCTTTCCCGCCCCTTCCCTGTCCCGTCCTTGTCCTTTGCGTTTCCCCTCTACCCCCCAGTGCATGGAGGACGCAGAGGACTTGCGCACAGAGGTGATCATCCCCCCTCACCCTCTTCCTCTTCCCCCTTCCCCCTTCGCCCTCCTTCCCCCCTCCCCCACTGCACCCCCCTCCCCAGTGCATGGAGGACGCAGAGGATGTGCGCACGGCGGTGATCATTCTGGGCATGCTGCGCAGCACACCTCATGTCACACACCCCTTCCCACCCCTTCCCATACCTTCCCGGCCCTGCCCCCACCCCTTCCTGCCCCTTCCCCCACCCCTCCCCTCTTTCCCCCTCAGTGCATGGAGGATGCAGAGGACGTGCGCACGGAGGTGATCGTACTGGGCATGCTGCGTAACGCACCTCAAATCACATCCCCCCACCCCCTGTTGGCACACCCCACTCATGTCACATCCCCCCACCCCTTGCCGTGACCCCCCACGTGCTGCCAGTGCATGGAGGATGCAGAGGACGTGCGCACGGAGGGGATCATTCTGGGCATGCTGCGTAACCATCCCATATTGCAACCACCACCCCTTTCCACCCCTTCCAACGCCTTCCCACCCCTTGTTCCCGCCCCACCAGTGCATGGAGGACGCGGAGGACGTGCGCACAGAGGTGATCATTCTGGGCATGCTGCGCAACCACCCGGGCATCATCAGCCTGCACGACGCATTTGAGGATGCAAAGGTACCTACGGCACCAGATTGCTGCTCATGGCATACCATTCCATGCCATGCTGCGCAACCACCCAGGCATCATCAGCCTGCACGACGCGTTTGAGGATGCAAAGGTATGCGGGTGTGCTCGTGTGAACCTCGTGTGTCACCATGCCATGCCACACACACACCGCATTGCCTTTCCCCTCATGGCATGCTGCGCAATCACCCAGGCAGCATCAGCCTGCACGACCCGCCTTGGAGGATGCAAAGGTAACCATGCTATTGTGTGCCGCTCTCTCGCCGACGCGCTGCTGCACTCTGCGCTGCTGCACTCTGCGCTGCTGCACTCTGCTCTGCTGCACTCCGCTCTGCACTGCCACTCCCTTCCAACAGTGACTAATCAAGCCCGCTCAAACCTCCCCCCCCTCTCCTCCCCCACCTGCCTTCCTTATCTCCTGCTCCCCCTGCCAGTATGTACACCTGATAATGGAGATGTGTCGCGGTGGGGACCTGTTCGACCGGGTGAAGCTGCGGGGGCAGTTCAAGGAAACCGACGCGGCCATCGTGTGCCGCTCTCTCGTGGAGGCGCTGCTGCACTGCCCTGCCCTGCTCTGCTTTGCCCTACCACTGCCCTTCAATGGTCACTTATCAAGCCCACTCACCTCAAACTCCTCTCAGTTCCCTCCCTCCCCTTCCCTCTCCCCATCCCCCCTTTCTCCCTCTTCTCCTGCAACCCCGAAACAGTATGTACATCTCATCATGGAGATGTGTCGGGGTGGGGATCTATTCGACCGGGTGAAGCTGCGGGGGCAGTTCAAGGAAACCGACGCGGCCATCGTGTGCCGCTCTCTCGTTGAAGCGCTGCTGCACTGCCACTCCAACGGGGTGATTCACCGCGATGTGAAGCCCGAGAACGTGCTCATGTGTGACAAGGACGTGGACACCAAGATCAAGCTCATTGACTTTGGTGTTGCCACATTCTACAAGCGAGGTGAGAGTTGTGTTGGTACAGGGGCTGCTGCTGCTGCTGCTGCTGCTGCTGCTGCTGCTGCTGCTGGTTGAACGTGCTCATGTGTGACAAGGACGTGGATACCAAGATTAAACTCATCGACTTTGGTGTTGCCACCTTCTACAAGCGAGGTGAGGCTGGGGTTGCTGCTGCCTGCTGCTGTTGCCTGTACAAGGGAGGTGATGGAGGGTGGGGAGGGAACGTGCTCATGTGTGACAAGGACGTGAAAACCAAGATTAAACTCATTGGCTTTGGTGTTGCCACATTCTACAAGCGAGGTGAGGGCCGGTGTGGTTGGGACACGGGCTTCTGCTGCTGCGGGTCCAGCCACTGCCGGTTACAGGGGAGGTGAAGGGGTTGCTGATGGAGTGCTGTTTGAAGCTTAACTTTAGGGGAAGAGCTCACACAGTAGAGTACACTGCTCCAGAGGTGCTGGATAAGAGCTACCGGTGCAGGAAGTGGGGTCATGCCTTAGATTATCACTCCCCCTCCCCAAACCCCCACCCACTCGCCCCTCACACCCTCTACCCCCTTTTCATCAGGCGTCCCCTGCACGGAACCAGCAGGCACTGTGAAGTACACTGCTCCAGAGGTGCTGGATAAGAGCTACGGGCGCATGCAGTGAGGTCATGCCTTAAATCAGCAGTCTTCCTCCCCGCCCCACCTTCCTTCCTCCCCTTCCCCCTCCTTCCACCATCAGGCGTCCCCTGCACGGAGCGAGCAGGCACAGTAGAGTACACTGCTCCAGAGGTGCTGGATAAGAACTAGGGGCGCAGGAAGTGGGGTCATGCCATGCCTTACCTGAGCTCTCCCCCTCCCCAAACTCCCCATCCGAACCCCGCTCCCTATCGACAGGCGTCCCCTGCACAGAAAGAGCAGGCACAGTGGAGTACACTGCTCCAGAGGTGCTGGATAAGAGCTACGGGCCAGAGTGCGACATCTGGAGCGCGGGTCACCTTCCCTAACCCCCCCGCCCGCTTCCTTCTCCTCCAAACCTTCATCAGGCGTCCCCTGCACTGAGAGGGCAGGCACAGTAGAGTACACAGCACCAGAGGTGCTGGATAAGAGCTACGGGCCAGAGTGCGACATCTGGAGTGCAGGAGTCGTCCTTTATATCCTCCTCTGCGGCTTCCCGCCGTTCTGGGCGGCGACCAACGCTGAGCTGGAGCAGAGCGTGCGGGCGGCGGCGGTCGACTTCCGCCACCCGCGCTGGGCGGCGGTGTCGGACGGCGCCAAGGACCTCGTGAAGAGGATGCTGACGAAGGACGTGAGGCGGAGGATCTCCGCTCTTGAGATATTCGGTGGGTCCGGTGGGGAGGGCTGCGGGCTAGTTGTGTGCGAAAGAGTGGTTGTGTAGATGGGAAAAAGGGGGGGAGGGGGGGAGGGAGGGGGGGATGGGGAGAAAGGGGGGAAGGGATGGGGGGAAGAAGGCACAGGGTTGCTTACAGTTTACACAGATACCTCCTGTCGAGTAGCCTGATTGGACGGGTGGAGTTCCTTCTGGAAGACCATGTGGGTGTCAGTTTCCACTGTTGCCCTTCCCACTCCCACTTTTGTCCTTTCCCCATCCACTTTCACCCCTTCCTATTTTCCACCGTTGTGCATTCCATTACAACTGCTGCCCTTACCATTCCGACTGTCGCCCTTCCCATTCATTTTGCACCTGGCGCTCCTTATGTCCTTCCGATCCGACTCCTCTCCTCCGTGCAGCACATCCCTGGATAAGAGCTGCTGAGAAGCAGCACAGACTAGACAGCAAGCCGCAACCTCCAAATGGTGACTCGTCCTTGTAAAACATAAGCAGCACGAATTCACAACGCAACTAACCTTGACCTTAGGCTCATGCGGACAGGACTTGAGTGCTTTTCATTATTTTCCGTTTGCCCTTAGGCTGGTGGATTCATAACAAAAGTATAAAGCAGGTTGTTATTGAAGGGATGCTGTATTGTACACCTTGTTAAACTTAACAGGTTCTCTTATGCCTATTGTTGTCCTTATCCTTATCCTCATTAGCTAAGTAACACCTGGACTAGCTGTTCCGCTGCTGGTGTTCTGTCCATTCATTTCCCATCGGCATATTCCTGACAAGATCAAGACTCGGCAGCTTCTCATGTCAGGTGGAGGCTTTCTCGAATCTTTTGCTGCAACCGTGGCAAGTTTCTGTGGTCGCTAATGCTTGTGTGGTCGTTCCTGCAGCCGTCATCTGCTCGGGTCCTGGTCAGCGGGCTTGTAGCAGAATCCGTCACGAGTCCCGTCCCGTCCCACCCAAGTCCTGGCTCCAGCGGGCTTGTACAGATGCTCCCTCTGCCCGTTCTGTGCACCCAAGTGGGGTGGCTGGGAAGGATGACCTGCCTAGCCAGTTGCTCTGCTCCACCAACCAACCAACTAGCCGAGCCTACGCATTTGACTAGGTCAATAAATATATCGTTCAGCACAGAGGCTGGGGTCTCGACTCGAAGGGTTGTCTCATTTGGTGAACTGTACAGTGTCGATTTGAAGATACACCTGGTCCGCGGTATTTTAACCACCCGAACTTTTTTGTTTCAAACATCCTGAGTGCATTTTAGTTCAACGGAATGGGCACCCAGAGACTTCGGGGCTATTAGAATACAGCCGGGAAGTTTTCCGTTTGACAAAACCCACACTTAGTGCTCCGAGATAGGGTGCGCATTGGCATTAAAGCGACGGTGCACATTTGCCACCCGAAACCCAAAACCCTGGCGAACTGTTACTGCGGAGGAAAAGTGTCCGCACGAAATCCAGGTTTTCGTTAGCCAACACTTTCGCGCTGGCAAGCCTGGTTCAAAACAAAAACTTCTGAACCCCCGCTTGTCAAATCTAGACCCTCGTTTTAACAGAGTTGCAACTTCCGTGATCTCGCTGGGTACGCTTAACTATACCCTCATAAATGTTTTGAACTACCCTTGTATTCAATATTCACCATGGAGTAGTACCCCCGCGTGGTTAAGATAGCGGCGGTTAAAATACCGCGGACTAGGTGTAGCACTTGCGGTACTGCACGGTGCCAATCTGTGTCGCATTTTGCAACATCCTTCTGAGTTTCGCCATTTTCCAACCGAAGTCCCACAGTGGCTGCCGAGTCTAGCTGGTTGGGCAGGTATCCCCTTCTCGGCACCGCCTACTGTAGTTCGTTCTCGGCAAGGTCAGGAGGTGGGGGGTACACGAAATGTGGGGGGGAATGACGAGCGTAGCGGGGAAGAGCCACAACAAGACTTGAGTGGGCTACTGGAGCTGTTCCGACAATTGCAATGCTCGGAACAGTACGATACGAAGCCTCTCTCGATGATGTGTACGGTTCATGCGTCTTCGCCCTGAGATCGCAGTGCTGGGGTACACCCGTAGACGAGAGTAGCAGGTGCAGATACTCGAACAATAATGTTTAGAGGGTATCTTTACTTTTTACTCTGATTCTCTCAGCAAAACCAACAGTGGTATTCTCCTCTTTTGGTTTCTTCGTCTGGAAGCCTTACCAGTAATATATAACATGGCCTATTGAAAGCATATGCAATACCTGGACTGGTTTGTTAGAAGTTGGTGAAAGCGATCTAAACAGAAATCCACCCCGCTCTTCCTCAAAGCTTGGACACCCGTCGAGTGTGATCTCTCTAGGCTCACTGAATCCCTGGAGACTTGCCATGCCAACCACATCTCAGCCTGCCTTCAATTTGTACACTGGAAACAGGTACTAACTCTGTCGTATACCCTGGTAAAGCTGCGGGCAGTCGAGAGCACAAGCTGGCTCCGCGGGCAAACCACGCGGCCCCTCCTCCTTTACAGTACAGTACAAGTATCGTATCCCCCACGTGATATTTTCCCAGCTCCCGCGTGACCCGACACCGCCGCGCCCAACTCGACACTCCTTGTGGGGAGGGGAGGATGAGCTCACCCAACCCAACCAATCGAATGAGTTGCAGTGGCGTGGCAAAGGGAACAAGGACAGGAGTCGTGCGCATGGGTGCGCAGGAGGGGACGGGAGGCGGGGGAAGCAAACGAGAGGTTTCTGAAGACCAAGGAATTGACTAGCCTCGGAACGAAATTGGTTGAAGCTAAAACAGGCGGGACTTCCAAGTCAAGCCAAGTTCGTAGCATTTCTAAGGCTGCTGAGTTTCGCCCGAATCCTACTCTTTTTTTTTAGAGAGAAAGAAACGCCGTTCGTACTACCTCTAGGTTGGCCTGATGTACACATGTACTTACGAAACAGAGCTTCGCCGCCAGACGCGACGCTGTTAATACGGTACTATACTCGAAACGAGAACTAGGTTTTTTTTAATCGTTTCACTACTAGTAAGTTCGTTTTCGTAACCACGGGTCGCACGATGGAGTTCGAGAAAGATTCGCCTCCCGCGGGTGCGCCGGACTCGCCGGACCTGGAACGGCACGATGCGAAGGAGGCGACGGATCGAGTCGTTAACTCCGACGGATATCGATGGCTCAAATACGGCTCCAAGTTCCTGAAACGAGGCCTCGGTCAGAAGAGGTGATGATCGTATAGAATTATACTACCGTAGTACGTAACGTACTCCTAGTACACTGGCTCATCGCAATTCTGGGGCTGGGGAGTTGTTAACGACTCGCAATTCGAGGAGAATACACCGCATCAGTCGTGCTACTACTACCTCACGCGTTCCGCCTCAAAATTCACGTTCTTACGGATTTAGCACATTTTTTTGCTGGCAAACCTTTTTCTATTACCAGAAAGCTGTTCAATGGTCTCGTACTATATCTCGTGGTAGTAATTATCATTTTTTCGCAATGGTGGAAATTATCCTGCCTTATCCAACTCAACCCGCGCCTTCTTTTCCTGCAAAATCGCCTCTTCCCCAGAGCTTACTACCGCTGTGCGGCGAGCAACCCGCAGTACCGCTCGCCGGGCGCGGAGCCGTGCAGAGCGCGGAAGCAGATCGACTACGACGCGTCCACGGGGATTGTCCACGCGTCCACGGCCGTCGTGCACCTCGCGGGGTCCCCGCACAACCACCCCCCGGTGTCCGTCATCCCGGCCTGCGGCGCTGCGTCTGGCGCTGCTGCCGCGTCTGGCGCTGCTGCCGCGTCTGGCGCTGCTGCCGCGTCTGGCGCTGCTGCCGCGTCTGGCGCGGCTACAGCTGCGGCTGCAGCGGATTCGCCGGCTCAGCGGAAGGTGCAGGAAGAGGGTCTGGCGGGTGGTAGAGGGGGGATTCAGGATTCGACGGCGCAGCAGGACTCGTTGCATGTGCATGTGCGGCTGCAGCAGCACCAGCAGCAGCAGCAGCAGCAGCAGCAGCAGCAGCAGCAGCAGCAGCAGCAGCAGCAGCCAGCAGCAGCAGCAGCCAGCAGCAGCAGCAGCACCAGCAGCAGCAGCAGCACCAGCAGCAGCAGCAGCACCAGCAGCAGCAGCAGCACCAGCAGCAGCAGCAGCACCAGCAGCAGCAGCAGCACCAGCAGCAGCAGCAGCACCAGCAGCAGCAGCAGCACCAGCAGCAGCAGCAGCACCAGCAGCAGCAGCAGCACCAGCAGCAGCAGCAGCACCAGCAGCAGCAGCAGCACCAGCAGCAGCAGCAGCACCAGCAGCAGCAGCAGCACCAGCAGCAGCAGCAGCACCAGCAGCAGCAGCAGCACCAGCAGCAGCAGCAGCACCAGCAGCAGCAGCAGCACCAGCAGCAGCAGCAGCACCAGCAGCAGCAGCAGCACCAGCAGCAGCAGCAGCACCAGCAGCAGCAGCAGCACCAGCAGCAGCAGCAGCACCAGCAGCAGCAGCAGCACCAGCAGCAGCAGCACCAGCAGCAGCAGCAGCACCAGCAGCAGCAGCAGCAGCAGCAGCAGCAGCCAGCAGCAGCAGCAGCAGCAGCCAGCAGCAGCAGCAGCACCAGCAGCAGCAGCACCAGCAGCAGCAGCAGCACCAGCAGCAGCAGCACCAGCAGCAGCAGCAGCAGCAGCAGCACCAGCAGCAGCAGCAGCAGCATCAATGGTACGGAACGTCTCAGACTGTGCCTATGAATCATACATCTCCAACTTCCCCAGTTCACCTCTCGCCACGTCGCTCCGATACCGCGCCTTTTCATTCTCACAACAGCATGCCATGCCGCTTGAATCTGTCGCCTCTGGCTCGCCCAATCAGCCGCCAGCACCACCACCCAGCAGCACCCAGCAGCACCCACCACCACCCAGCAGCACCCAGCCTTGCCAGCTCCGACGGTTCGAGTCACGACGGCAACAGCAACGGGAACGCTACTAACGCGGACGGGATCCGGAGCAGAACGCCGTTCAGTCTCGCGTCGCTCTTGCCGGTTACCACATGCGGTGGCGAAAGAGATATTCGTCATGGTGCTGGTAGTAACTTTCGCCAACCCGGTTCATGGGTCAACAGTGTGAGTCGGAATGACCCCAGCTCTCGCATCGATGCGAGCAGTGGGGACTTCGATCCCACCGGGGGTCCTGGTGCCAATCACAATGCTGGCTGTGGCGGTGGCGCAAATACGATCCGTAGCTATGATGGCAATGGCGGTCGTATTCACGTCAGGGGCGGCAGCGGTGGCAACGGCGGGGGCGGTGGCAGTGGTGGTGGCGATGGCAACGGTTTGGCAGCAGCACCAGTAGCGCCGTGTGAAGTGGCTCAGGCGACCAGCCCCGTCTCTGCTGCTTACCATCATCTCTCTGCTGCTCCGTTGCTGCCTTTTGCTTCTGCTCCGCCTTCCCCCACTGCTCGCAAACACCAGGGTGTCGTTCCCTGTACTTTCCGGGCTGTGGGTTCTGCTGTTTCTGCTGTCTCTGCTGTCTCTACTGTCGCTGCTTCTGCTTCACCTCCACCTGCCACGGATGCTGCTACAACGGGTGCCGCTACTGCTATTTCAACGGTTGCTGCAGCTGCTGGCGCTGGTGCTGGCGTTGGTGCTGGTGCTGGTGCTGCTGCCCCTGTTGCCAACGTAGCTGCTGCTGCTGCTGCTGCTGCTGCTGCCGCTGCTGTCATTCCAATTGCTGCCTCAGCTCCTGCTACAACTGCTGCTACAACTGCTGCTACAACCGCTGCTACAACCGCTGCCCAGGCGTTCAGTCAACGGCCTCACTCCCAAGCCACAGGACGACTCGTTTCTGGTTCACCCCTTCCCGCCTTCCCACGCCTGCCCATGGCTATCGGCACCGAACCTACCACCAACCCCGAGAATGCTCAGAGATTGGGTGCTACAAGCAACGGTGGGCACCCGTTGCGAGACGACAATGCGGGGGGAATGAAGAGAAGGGAAGGGCCGGCCTTTGAGGCGCCTCAAGGCCCGGCAGGGATGACAAGTATCCCTCTTGTGTGGCTTGCTAGCCGAGCCTCGTGGATTGGGGCGAGGTGGGTCGGAAGCGGAAGGGAAGAGCGGAGAGGGGCGAGGCGAGGGGGGAGGAGAGGGCGGTGAGAATACGAGGGGGGATGGGGAGGGAGGAGGTGAGTGCGGAGGGGGGATGTGATGGTGTGAGGAGGGGAGAGCTAGAGAAGGTGAGGGAGAGGGTGAGTGATGGAGGGGGAACGTTGGAGAACAAGGAAGAGAAGAGGACGGGGGAGGTCAGAAATGGAGAGCAGAAGGTGATATTGGGAGGAGGAGTTATTCTTCAGGATATTAAAAAAGAGCGGAAGGTGATATTGGGAGGAGGAGTTATTCTTGAGGATTCTCAAAGGCAGCAGAAGGTGATATTGGGAGGAGGAGACATGGGTGGTGTTGTTAGAGCAAGAGCAGCAGCAGCAGCTGCTGCTGCAAAAGCAAAAACAACAGTAGCAGAAGCATCAACGGCAGCCGAAGCAGCAGCAGTTGCAGAAAGAGCAGCAGGGAAGGAAGCCGCGAGTGTTGAGGCGGTTAAAGCTTCATTCTGCAGCGATATGTGCATTGAGACAAGTGCGTTGAGTTTGAGCCGACTCCAAAGTCACCATGAGACAGGCGTTCTTGACGCTCCTCAGCGGAAACCTCAGAAGGAACTCGTCCCAGCTCTGCGCTACAGCGATGTGTGCATGGAGGGGGTTTGGGATCGCAATGGGGAGGACAAGAAGAGCGAGGAGGGTGGGGGAGACGAGGCGAGGGGGGGAGAGGTGGAGAGAGAAGAGGAGGAGATGAGAGGAGGTAGGGAGATGAAAGGGGATGGAGGTGCGGGGGGAGAGTTGGATTTGGTAGGAGATGGCGGGACGGGGGGCAGGGGAGGTACGGAAGGGTGTGGGAATGAGGATGGTCGGGTTCAGGCTGGGGAGATGAGGAGAGAGGGGGGAGCAGCAGAAGGCGAGGGAGCAGCAGAAGGTGAGGGAGCAGCAGAAGTTGAGGGAGCAGCAGAAGGCGAGGGAGCAGTGGAGAGGAGGGAAGGATGGAGGGGAGAGGGTGGATCGGAAAGGGGCGGATCTAGGGGGGTGGAGGAAGAGGGCGAGACAGGAGGTGCAGCTTCTGCGCTGATTGCTCTGGCTGCTGCTGCTGCTGGGATCAGCCGTCACTCCCCCTCTACCGCCCTCTCACAACCTGTTTTTGAGGCGCCTCAAGAAGTCTCTGCTGCTGCTGGGATCAGCCGTGACTCCCCCTGCACCACACTGCCAGCCGCACCAGCCCCATCAGCCCCATTAACAGTATCAGCAGCATCAGCAGCAGTAGCAGTTGGGAAGCCAGCAGGAGAGGCTGTACCTGGGGAGGCTGTACCTGGAGAGGCTGTACCTGGAGAGGCTGTACCTGGAGAGGCTGTACCTGGGGAGGCTGTACCTGGGGTGGCGGAAGCAGGAGGAGGAGGAGAGAGTGGAGCAAGAGAAGGGGGAGCAGGAGGTTTTGAGGTTGCAGAAGGGTGGGGACCAGGAGGAGGGGGAGCAGGAGACAGGGAACCAGGAAGGGGAGGAGCAGCAGGGTTGGTGAGAGCAGAAGGGCGGTGCAGACCAAGAAGTGATGGATGGGGGAGAGAAGTCGTGTGGGGGCCGCAAGCGTATGCATTGGACGGCTGGGGGGGGGCAGCAGGGCAGGCCGTGCAAGGCTGGGGGGGGCTAGCCTTAGCCCCTCACAGCCGCACCCGCACACCCGCGTCCGTCTCACAGCCTCACAGCAACCCCTTGGGTGTGGTTTCTTCCCATTGGGAGGGAGTGCCTTTCCCAAGAGAGAGTATGGACTGGTATGGTCGCATTCCCGTGGCTGCTCCTGCTGCTGGCTTCCCGTGTGCGGGGGCTGTGAGGGTGCCACGTGGCATGCCAGGAGGGCTAACACGTGGAGCACTGGCGCCCCTGGCGTCAGCTCCTGTGTTGCCACCTGGCGCACTGCCACGTGGCATGATGGCGGCGCCAGCGGTGCGCGTTTTGCCACCTGGCATGCTGCCAGGTGGCGGGGACCGGGGATCTGTTAATGGTCTACTAGACTGGAGCCCTAGCCTTGCTGCGTTCCCTCGCTTAGCAATGGGAACTGTGAGCGATGCAGCAATCTGGGTAGCGAAGGGTGGAGCAGCAGGAGTAAGGAAGGACGCAGCAGAGGGAGCAGGGACGGGTGCAGCGGAAGGAGCAGGGAAGGATACATCAAGGGAGGTAGAGAAGGGCGGTTCAACAGGAGTAGGGGTAAGGAAAGAAACAGCATTGCTACGCGCATTGCATCGCTGGGAACTGGCGTGAACAGCACTGGCATGCTAGTTGCATCGCTGGGGGTCGGCAGGGCAAGCACTGGCAAGACCACCTCTGGCACGCGAATTGCACCCACGGGGAGTGGAGGGCAAGCACTGGCATGACCAACACTGGCAACACTGGCACTGCCAACGGATTGACCATAAGCAGCATGAGTGCGGGCTGTAGGGTAGAAGAATGTGCAACCTTTCTGCTAGACACAGCTGTAGCTGCAAGGGGAGGAGCGGCTGGGGGAGCGGCAGGGGGAGCGGCAGCACCAGTGGCAGCGGCGACAGTGGCGGGAAAATTAGGATATTTAGGTGCACGAGGAAGGGGAGGAGAGGGGGCAGGGGAAGGGGCAGGAGGAGGGGCAGGAGGAGTGGGAGGAGCAGTGATGGCTGTGCCAGCACTGGCTGTTGCAAGACCAGCTGTTGCAGTGGCCGTAGCAACATCGGGGTCGGTCTGCTGTAGCAGCATCTACTCTACCACCAGTGGCAGCAGCAAAGGAAAAATCAACGCTGGTGTTGCTGCTGGTTCTGCTACTGTTCGTTCTGCTGCTGCTAGTGCAGTTGCTTTTGCTGGTCATATGAGAGGGGGAGAGGGGGCTTTGGTTGTGAGTGGGGTAAAACGGAGGCATGGAGTGGTGGATGCGTGTGGGGGACGTGGTGTACCCAAATTCGCTCTCACTCTTCAAAGCTTGATGCCAAAGCACGGCCTGTGATACCTGTCCACAGGATAGCCGACCATTGTACTATTTGTTGGAAAACAAGTACTTAACGCTTCCTATGTGTCGTAACATCGAACCGTAAACGAGGCAAGCTACAGCGAAGCAATGGCGAGTCAACCGAGGAGGTTGACAGAAAAGTAACAACCGGAGGTTACGTGAAGGTCAAAGGTCAGCGACCTTTGACTCGACAAATACAGCGCGACAGCAAGGACAAACAACTGACTCGATCTTGAACAGTTGCCCGAGTTGCCACTGTATCGAACCGCAACAGCAACAGCAAAACGGTTATTGCATCCCTTTCATATTAGCTTGTATTACCTCTTTATAATTAATCTATCTTGCTCTCACACACTAGCGCAAGGTGGTTCAACAAGTTCTTTATTACAACGCTTCCGCAATACAACATTCCTACCAGAGTCTTAGCCTTGAAAGATCCTAAGAGCTTTTCTCAGCCCAACACTATTCTATTACTGTAATCCCCTGCATAGTCCTCTGAAGGGTGCATGGATACCGTACCGTATCACCATTTTCAAAAGAATGGAAACATTATTTATTGACAGTCCCACTCAATTCCGGGATAAGGAACGCGTACTGTGGGAACGAAAAATAATATCACTGCCCAAACTCATACAAAGTTTATGGATCACATATTGGATCTATAAACTGTGTATGAGTTTGGGCAGTGATATTATTTTTCGTTCCCAAAATGAAATGCAAAAATACAATACAGATATCAAATTGCATGGAATTCGGGACAAACTGCCTTAGGTATTACCAGGCCGTTAGCTATAACGTGGTACAGTACAGAAAATGATATTGATGGGTGTCTGTAATTGTGATAAAACCATATCTAACAGGAGAATACATATTGTTTCTGAAAAAAACATTCGCGAGAGGATCATTCGGCGTGGAGCATTCGCGTTTTGTGAACCAATCATGAACCAGGTTTCCCATGAAATGTTTCGCGCTTTTGATGGGCGCTTGGGGGAAACACCAGACATGCGAACAAGATTTGTGAGGCTATCGCACATCTGGTTACTGTCGCACGCAATCTATGCTCCTGAACAGTTGATGCGTGCACTCGTTTGCCTGACAGAAGCTGGCAAGTGACTAGGTGTACCTTATTCCAGCCGTGGAAAGGGTAGATCGAACTTCTCGCTCCTAACCTTCAACTCGCACATGTGTTTGAATGACGATCGGAGGCTCTGATGATTGAACACTTCCATAATTTGTTTAAGGTCCAGCGCCGCTTTTCTTACAAGTTTGGACAGTACCCCGCTTTGACGACACAAAAAACGGGGGCGGTTGGTTAGTTAGCCCACAAAAAGACAACGTCCAACAATGCCAAACACTGCAGCCTCCCGCCGCAATATTTCTTGTTTGCTACAGGTTGAAGACGCCTCTCCACCGCCTCTTTGGTCCTTTCCGAGGAACCTTTCGGGGCCCGATAAGGTGTCGTTTTCTCAATGGGCACCGTCAATGAACTGTGCTGCAAAGTTTCCCCGTGACGTCTCGTCATCCCCACGGTCTGTCATTTGCATGTAAAACAGTCCAGCTTGAGCAGCAAGTGCTGCAGCAGATTGGGGGAAATTTGCGAGCGATTGATATGAGAAGGAAGATTGCACCTTTTTTTGGACCGGTCAGACGCAGTCAAGTCAAGAAGCCCATTGCGGTGGGGTGGCTAGGCTAGTGTTCCCACCGATCTTGTTGATGTCCTCACAACGTAAGGGGGGGAACACAACCGTCGGGCAGACGATGCCAGAGTTGCTCAAAATTGTTCACAACATTGCATTGCAACTGACTGGTGGACGTAAACATGGTCACGGGGCAGGTATCAGCCAGAGCTTGACGGAGCTGATGTGGACCAATCATTTGAGAGCTCAAAACCGCAAAGACGGAAGCGCATTGCGCAGAAGGCAGCAGGCGGACGTGGATCTGCCATGAATCCTGTCAACTTCCCAACGGCATTCTTCAGGGTTCCAGAATCCATGGCTGCTCCGCTGCGTTTTGCTCAGCTTCACGACAGAGGCAGCAAATAGAGATAGTAGACAACAAAACCAGACCCGCATGCGTTTTTTGGAAGCAGCAGAAATTGTTCGGCGGGCAGCTGCAGGATGAGCAGTGCTGCAGTGGTCTTCAGCAATCTCTGGACGACCTCCCAAACGGGCGACGATATTCAGCAGCAACACTGGTGATTGCTCGTGACTCGTCGCGACGCAAATGCGGCATAGTGTTTTTTTTGTTTGGTCTAATGTACTCCTCTGCTTCTAGAGCGCGAACACTGCTTCTAGATAAGTCGACGTGTTTGATTGGAGTGGAGAGAGTCGCTGTACGCTGGATCTCCGGTTCGGTCTAGTAGGCCTGCACCCACTCACGCCAACGGAGTCCTTTTGTTGACGTTGAAAGCAGTTTACATTCGACAGGCGTCGCCATTTCAGCTCTGTCGCGGACATTGAATCATCAGATTGCATCAACGCAGCCATAGCTGGTTTCTCCAGGTTTCCTTGGCTCCTTCGCCTTACCTATTGCAAGCAATCATCCGCACGGTCAGGCACAGATTGGCAGCACGAAAGCACCATATTACCAGGCCAACATCCATCGTCGTTTCCTGGACTGATTGGTAGTAGGACTAGTCCACTCAACGTCAGTGGTACTAGCGACTCCACTGGAAGCGCTACCGCGGCACCACACAGCAGTGCGCGGCAACGCTCATAACCGCATCGCACCGAATTGCATCTCGCATCGCGACAGCCACCGTGCCTGTAAATTTTGCACCTGACCCGATTCCGCAACCACTTCAAATTTTCGTGCAGTGCCTTCACCGGCATCGGGGTTCGTATCGTCCAGGTCCGTGCTGCGCGCTAGCCACTGCCGAGACGAGTTATCGCCAGCCACTCGGTTACGGGCTCAGTCACACGCGCGTCAGACTATCATCATAAGAGACGTCACTTTCTCGGAGAGGTCATTTTCGAATATTCTCCTTGTCTGTTCTCGACCTGACGCTTGCAATTTCCGCGGTAACAACCCGCTTGAAACGCCAACCACTACTAACAGCTCTGTGTGATTCAAGAGAGTCTCTTGAAGAAGGTTTGCCGTCGCCGCCATGAATCATCCGCCGTCTTTCCGCGAGCTAGCAGCGATGGGACCTCCCGCACCCTTCACCCAAGTCCTTGCGCCAAACGCGGCGCTCGGACAGTTCTTCTACGGGTTTGCGGCTCCGCCGTCCGCGCCGTCGCCGTCACCGTCGCCGTCGTCGGCGGCCGCAGCGCCATCGCCGGCGGCAGCGGCATCGTTCCCCCCCAGCGCCGTCAACATTCCCCTCATCATTCGCCGCGGCGTTGAACGACATGGCGATCCTGAATCGCACGGGCTTATCTGGAGCACCGCCGGCGACGATGTCGCGAATGTCGCAAGTGTCGCTCGATGCGATTCCGCAGATGACGCCCGAATTGGTTCGTCAGATACACCTCCTCGCGAGAAGCCAAGGCGCGCCGTGTTTCCCGCAAGGCGGAGGCTGGAACACTCGTTCCGACCGAACCGACGAGCGGGGGAATGGCGCCGGAAGTGGAGTTAGCGCTTCCTCCACGATCGCAGCAGCAGCCTCCGCAGCGGCGAATCATAACCAGCCTTCGAGCACTTTTGCCGACCGCAATGGCTCATTCGGGAACCTCCCTTTTTCGCTCTCGGAGAGGGAGATGGCGGTCGGCTTACCTGGTGGTACGACTGCTACTATTCGCGGAATTTTCGAGCAGCCGGCGCGTTCTGATTATCTGTTGCAAACTCAACATCCATCCGCGCCGTTCAAGTCGTTCGCGCCGTTGGATCCATGTGCTCCAGTCGCTCCATCCGCGCCGTCCGCCCAGTTCGCGACCTCCCGAGGCTTTTCCGCCTTCCAGCAGCCCTCAGGCTTTCCGCCGCTCGCTGCGGCGGCGGAAACAGGCCAACCCGTAACGCGTCAGCCCTTAACGCGTCGCCCATCGGCGGATGGTGCAATGGATACGTCGGCCGAGGTTATGACTGTCCCTCCTAGTAGGAGAGGCGTTAAAAGGACCAGCGGCCCAGGTGCTAACTCGGCGAATAACAACACGACCGTGCTACCTGCCACTGCCACTGCCCCTGCCTCTGCCGCTCGCCGCCGCCGCAGCGAGAGCAACGGCCCCTCCGCGGGTGACGGCGCAAGCTCTGGCGGAAGTTCCAGCGGAGGTGGCGATAGCCCCCGGGCGGGGGAAGAACCCGCGGAAGTAGGAGCGACGGCGCCATCGGCGGCAGCGGAAGCGACGGCGGCGGCGACGGCGGCGTGGGAGCAGCACCAGTGGTCGCGCGGAGTTTGCGGAGGCTGGTGAGCGCGGACGGGCACCGGTGGCTCAAGTACGGCGCTAAGAAGCTCAGCACCAAGAACGGCGGCCAGCGCAGGTATCCACCGCCGCGCACTCTGAGGCTCAGAACTGCGAAGCTTCCTCGTTTCGTGATGCTTTCCTGTGTTTGCCCCGTCGTGTCCCCCAATTAGCGCGCAAGGTGGCGGTGATCTCGCACCCCCTGTCCTCACTCTCTTCCCTCCGCCTGTATCTTCCCCCCTCTCTCCTACCCCTATCTCAGGGCGTACTACCGCTGCGCAGCCAGCTCTCCCCACCACCGCTCGGCAGGGTCCGCCCCGTGCCCCGCGCGCAAGGTGGTGAACTCACACCCTCTGCGCCCCTTCGACCTGAGCGCTGTCACTGTGGAGTATCTTTCCGAGCACAACCACCCTGTGGAGGGAGGGCGCGTGGTTGTGCGTGACTATAAAGGGCGCCGGGTTCCTCTTGCTGGGGATGATGGTGCTGCTGGTGGTGAGGATAGGGTGATGGTGGGGAGTGCTGATGTCAGCCCAGCCGTTGCTGCTGATGGCGAAGCCTGGACTGCCGCGGGTGGTGGTGCTGCTGCTGCTGCAGCTGCTGCTGCTGCAGGCGATGACAGGGTTGTATCGCATGATGAGTCTCCTTTTGAGGAGGAAACTCCCCAGCTCAGAGATTTTATGGGTGTAGGTGGCAAGGAGTCCTTGCCGAGGAACGTGCGAAAAAGATGCGGCGGAGCACGATATATCTCGCAGCAACAGTAGTGTTACAGAACATTGTGTGGAATCTGTGGAGCAACTTTTATTGAGGACTGGTGCAGCAGATAGGGGGAGTGAGGGTGTTGATGGTCAAGTGGATGTGGAACTGCATCTAGCCTGCTCGTATGGCAGTGCAGAGCAGGGAATCAACCTGTTTGCTGGGCAAGGGGTTGAAGTTTGCCAAACAGGTTTCAAAAGGATGAGGTTCAGTGAGGGTAGCTGCTACAGTGGGCTTTTTGGAATGGGTGCAGTTGCATGAAGGTTCCACAAAGCATGCACGAAATTTTGGCTTTATCTTGATCGTGTTCATGCTTGGGGTCATGCTTGCTTATATGGTGTTGGCTTGTGTTCGTTTCTAGATATTGAGTTGCTTCTTATATATTGTCTTGCATAAACTTGTAATAGAAGTTGGCATAATGCATTTTGTTGAGTTCTACAGAAACCACACTAACTGGGTCCCCTAGAGGTTAGCGAACCACGCAAACTCGCTATGGGTCCGAGTCAAGGGTGGCGTGTGGTGTGTAGTCCAGGCCCAGTTCGGCAGGCATTAAAAAAACGGTTTCCCCGGATGGGCTACAGTAAACGACCACCCTGGAACCTTCTTTGATAAGCGCGTGAAAGGTTTAGCTAGGCTCGATATAAGCGGATCATCGCCGAACCAGACAATAATGGAATGCCAGCCGAGCACCCCTTTTAACGCTGGCAATTTCCACCAGTAGAACCTTCCTCGAACCATATTTCTCAGGCAAACTGTCCATTTTCCAACCGCAGCACCATGCGGCCGTAGAGGTCCCGCACCATGCGGGGGATCATTGATTCGGGGCAATCACACCTTGCCTGAAAAAAATAAATCCTGGTCTTTCTCACCCCTCTTCGTGCCCGCTGGAAATCACCACAATCACCAACACACCATCACTAACACATCGAACGGACAGTTTTCCCTTAGCCGATTATTTTCGACGACCACCGCTGGTTTGCAGGGGCTGCCCGGGCTGCCAAAACAGTGATTCTGCGCTCCATCAGCGCGGGCTGCATACAGGCTTCTCCGAAGTGTCGTTTTCGGTTGATGCCATTAATCTTGGCTCAGTTAATGCCAACCGAACCCTCGGGCCCATTTTTCCGAAGTTTCACTGCAGCTACAGTCTGTTTCTTGGGGCCATTTTTTGGGGGCCCGTTAAAAATGCCCATAATGGCGATAATGGCGAGAATGCCTGCCGAACGGGGCCCAGGTGTGGGTGGAAGTCAGCCCACACCTCCGCTGACGCTTTGCTGCTCACGGCTAGCAAGGGACACACCACACCACACCACATTACCACCGACCAATCACAACGTGGTGGAACCTCGATCAGAATTGCGAACCTGTTCGCGAAAGTAACATCTTCTCCTTCCCCTCGTTTCAGTCAACAGGTCTTGAGGACCATCTCTGGGATTACCGACGGCGCAATCTCTTGCAACCGAAACGCGTTCCTCTTCTGCCTCCCAGCCTGCCCGTACCGCCTTGTGTGAACTGGCTGATCACCCGCCGGACCATGCTGAAGGTGCGACCGCAGCAAACTCCGAACCTCCACTACACCCTCACCAAGCCGCTTTTCCACCCTCGTGGGATGACTGCTTGCGCAAACCTGTCACCCCAGGGCTCAAAACAAGCAGTTCGGCTCGGCAAAGTCTGTTGCGCGTCAAAATGGTACCATTCCGTACCCCTTTGCCTACGTCCCGAGCAGCCCGCAGTCCAAGTCGCCCCAACGGTTTGGAGGAACTGTGGCCATAACCATGGATGCCCGTGCGGGCAGCCCAACGAAAAGCAGCAGGCAGTGTGTGCGGGTGGCCCAGCTTGACTCTGCCTGCCTGCCCCAGTAAAAAAACCCGTGGCATGGAGCCCATGAACCCCGCAATCCGCCTAACGCGCATAGACCAATGGTAGAACAGCAGAAGTTGGTCAGAAACACGGACGGACGGACCGGATGAAACAGGCTTGACCCGATGTCTTTTTGCCTGGGGTAGCAAGCGGCTGGTTCTAGACTTCAGGCCCTAGAACCAGCTTACTGGATTGCAGTATATTCGATGCGATAGGCTGAAGAAGGCTCCGTCAGCTAGTGAATGACGTGGAAGGATAGCAAAGTGGGTTAGCTTCCTCCCTCTCTAGCGGCTGCAATTAGTAGTAACTGGTGACGTCACGGCCTTTGGGTTACAGACAGCAGCGTCCAGTCAGGGATGTGGCGATCTAGTGAATCACTAGTTAGATACCAGGAGGTTTCTTCCGGGCTTAGTTTCATGGTTCAAGTCGTAGACGCTGACGAATACATGAGTCGGTAGCACCTGTTTTTGTTGGACAACTGAGAGACTCATGGGATGACAAGTTAGGGTTACAAGCATTTCAACGACAAAATCTCCAGCCATGGCTTCTGACTATCTAATTAGAAGAAATTTCGTTTTCGCATTATTGTTCCACGAGAGACGTCCGAAGACCTTCGTACTTAGTTCGTTTCTTATTGTCCTATTACTACCCACCCTCTATCTGGGCGTAGAATCATTCTCCTTCACATCTCGCACCATACTCGTTCGACCAACCTCTGTAAAATACGTCCGAGCCTCTTCCCGAGCCTCGTCCCAATCTTCGTCACGACCGTTGCAATCCTCCTGGGCGGAGCGGCCGCGACACGACAATGATACCAGATGGCCTCCGCCGGTCGTATCCGTTCTTGCGTTTCTCAGGCGCCGCTGCTCTCGAGTCCAATTCGACGGATCAGATGTCGCCACGTGGACTGTCAGAGATGCAGTCGCGGCTTCATGGAAGCATCCGCACGGACGGGTACGTTCTTATCGGAGGTCCACACTGCGATACGCCTGAATTCCGATAGATTACTTGCAGAGTGAGAATGCCTTAGGATGCAGTTAATCGTGGGTTTGCTCGATGATTTCCTTCTGTTATGCGAAACCCTAACCTTGCAACACCATAACTTCCACGCTCATTCGGTTGCTTCATTATCTCACCAGCACCTGTTTCTCTCTCGTTATGCTCTCCCCTCCCTTGTATAGCACCTCCTGCGTGATTCTTCCTATTTAACTCTCCCCCCTTCTCCTCCCCATCGCCCCACCTCCCCCCCTCCTCCAACCCCTCCTTCTCCACCCCCCCTCCCTTCTCCCCTGCTTCTAGCTTTTCCCCGCCCTCCCGATCTCTCCCCACTTCCCCCGCCCTCCCCCCACCCAACCAACCCCCCCTTTTCCGCGCGCAGTTATTACTCCGTGGACGTGTGGGCCAGAGTCACTTTCTTACTTGCCTCAAAATTCTTCCCCCTCCTCCACCGTCGCCCACCCTTCCCCCCCCCCCCCCCCCCACCCCTTTCCGCGCGCAGGTATTACTCGGTGGACGTGTGGAATCGGGTCACTTTCTTTGAGGCGCCTCAAAGTTCGTTCCCCCACCCTCTCCCTCCTCTCCCCGTTTCTCCCCCGTTTCTCCCTCCCCCCCCCCCCCCCTTCTTCCCTCCCCCCCGCGCCTCCGTGCGCAGCTATTACTCGGTGGACGTGTGGATCGGGTCCCCACCGCGCAAGTTCTCTCTCATGGTGGACACGGGGAGCGCGCTCACCATCGTGCCCTGCTCTTCCTGCTCGCCGTGTGGCGCTCACATGGTAAGGCGATAGGGTTACCACGTAACATGTGCGTGTCCGCGCCGCGCAAGTTCTCTCTTATGGTGGACACTGGAAGCGCGCTCACCGTCGTGCCCTGCTCCTCCTGTTCGCCCTGCGGTACTCACATGGTAACCGCTGGGAAGGCTCATAGGGTAACCTTGTAACTTCTCTGTGTTTCAGCCACGTAAGCTCTCGCTCGCGGTGATAGCATGTGACATTGTTAGGCTTTAAGTACTGTAACGCCCGCGCGCCAGTTTTGTCTCGGAAGCCTGATGACTATTGGGTGTTGCATCAGTTGTCGAAGGTAAGTGAGCCGTGTAGGGTTGCGAGGTAACGGGTGAGTAATGCTAGGGTTACAAGCAGTGGACGGGCGAAATGCGACATGCGCTGACTCTGTTCTCCGATCCCACTCCCCTCTCCCCTTTTCCGCCCTCCGCCCTTGGCAGAATCCACCCTATTCCCCCTCCGCCTCCGCCTCCTACCTCCCCGTGCCCTGCCGCGGAGGTTCCTGCGCGGGGAACCGCTGCGACCGCCAGCAGCGGTGCGCGTACTCGCGGCGATACGCTGAGGAGAGCACCAGCGACGGCTTTCTCTCCTCCGACCTCGTCTCCTTCTCCCCTCCGCCTCCCCCTCCCGCGCCCGCCGCCTCCGCCGCCGTCCCAAAGGAGAAGCGCGCTTCCGCGCACGAAGACCCCCGGCCTTCCGCTTCCTCCTCCTTTTCGTTCTTCTCCTGGTGGTGGTGGCCGTTTTCCCCCTCCCCTTCCGCCGTCGCTTCCGCCTCTTCCGCGTCCGTCTCCCCCTTCCTCCTCCGCCCATGCGCAAGCCTCCTCCGCTTCCCCCTCCTCTTCCTCGATATCTTCCGCGCAAGCCAGTCTTCCGCTCCAGGCCCCGTTCCGCCCCTTCCGCGCGTGCTATTCGGGTGCGCGGAGGCGGAAACTGGCGCGCTTTCCCGCCAAGCGGCGGACGGCGTGCTGGGGCTCGGGCGGGGGGCGTACAGCCTGCTGGCGCAACTAGTGAGCGCGCGCGCAGGTCGCCGCGGAGGTCTTCTCCATCTGCTACGGCGGAGGGGGGGGCGCAGCGGAATCCGCGGAACTGGCAAAAGGCGCGGGGAACGAGGGGAGTGGCTGGGGAGTGTGGCGGCGGAAAAGGGGGGATGGGGAGTGGAGGAGGGAAAGGCGGAGGCGGGGCGGGAGGGGAGGGGGAAATGGGGAGGTTGGGGGGGGAGCGCGGGGCGATGATCATGGGGCCTGTGGGGCTGCGCGCGCCTGCAGTGATGCAGTACACGGCGTTCGACCGTATGCGCGTGTGAGTAGTGATTAGCGAGTATGAGGGGATGATTAGCGCATGTGAGGGGGTGTTATTTTCGGGTGAGCGGGTGCTTGTGCATGTGAGCGGACCGTTTGCGCGCGCCTGCGGTGATGCAGTACACAGGCTTCAACCGCATGTGCATGTGAGGGGGCGCAGGAAAATTGTGCGCATGCCAGGGGACGATTTGCGCGCATCTGAGTGGGTGTTTGCGTATGTGAGGGGGCGCAGGTGATTTGAGCGCATGTGAGGGAATTTGCTCGATTCAGTGGGTGATTTGCGCACAAGCCAGTGGGTGCTTTGATCGCCTCCCCCTCCCTCTCCCTCTCCCCCCTCCCACTCCCTCTCCCAGAGGCACGCCCTTTTACCAGGTGGTGGTGTCCAAATCCGCAAAGCAGGGGATCCTCTCCCCGTGGAGGACGCCCCGCTGCTATTCTCCTCCGCTGTTTGCTGACTGCTTGCTCTCCTCTCCCTCTCCCCCCCCGCCCTCACCCCCAGAGGCACGCCCTTTTACCAGGTGGTGGTGTCCCAAATCCGCAAAGCAGGGGATCCTCTCCCCGTGGAGGACGCCCCGCTGCTATTCTCCTCCGGCTGTTTGCTGGCTGCTTGCTCTCCTCTCCCTCTCCCCCCACGCCCTCACCCCCAGAGGCACGCCCTTTTACCAGGTGGTGGTGTCCCAAATCCGCAAGCAGGGGATCCTCTCCCCGTGGAGGACGCCCCGCTGCTATTCTCCTCCGGCTGTTTGCTGGACTGCTTGCTCTCCTCTCCCTCTCCCCCCCCGCCCTCACCCCCAGAGGCACGCCCTTTTACCAGGTGGTGGTGTCCAAATCCGCAAAGCAGGGGATCCTCTCCCCGTGGAGGACGCCCCGCTGCTATTCTCCTCCGGCTGTTTGCTGACTGCTTGCTCTCCTCTCCCTCTCCCCCCCCGCCCTCACCCCCAGAGGCACGCCCTTTTACCAGGTGGTGGTGTCCCAAATCCGCAAAGCAGGGGATCCTCTCCCCGTGGAGGACGCCCCGCTGCTATCTCCTCCGGCTGTTTGCTGACTGCTTGCTCTCCTCTCCCTCTCCCCCCCCGCCCTCACACCCCAGAGGCACGCCCTTTTACCAGGTGGTGGTGTCCCAAATCCGCAAAGCAGGGGATCCTCTCCCCGTGGAGGACGCCCCGCTGCTATTCTCCTCTCGGCTGTTTGCTGACTGCTTGCTCTCCTCTCCCTCTCCCCCCCCCGCCCCTCACCCCCAGAGGCACGCCCTTTTACCAGGTGGTGGTGTCCCAAATCCGCAAAGCAGGGGATCCTCTCCCCGTGGAGGACGCCCCGCTGCTATTCTCCTCCGGCTGTTTGCTGACTGCTTGCTCTCCTCTCCCTCTCCCCCCCCGCCCTCACCCCCAGAGGCACGCCCCAGGTGGTGGTGGTCCCAAATCCGCAAAGCAGGGGATCCTCTCCCCGTGGAGGACGCCCCGCTGCTATTCTCCTCCGGCTGTTTGCTGACTGCTTGCTCTCCTCTCCCTCTCCCCCCCCGCCCTCTCCCCCAGAGGCACGCCCTTCTATCAGGTGGTGGTGAGTCAAATCCTTATCGGGGGAGACCCTCTCCCCGTCTGAGGACGCCCCACTGCTCTTCTCCTCCGGGTACGGGGTCCTCGTTGACAGCGGCACCTCCTTCTCCTACCTGCCGGCGCCGCTTACTCACTCCACCACCCTCTCTCTCTCTCCCTCCCTCCCTGCCTCCATCCCTTCCCTCTCCCCCAGAGGCACGGCCCTTCTATCAGGTGGTGGTGAGTCAAATCCTTATTGGGGGAGACCCTCTCCCCGTCGAAGACGCGCCGCTGTCTATTCTCCTCGGGTTACGGCGTCCGTGGTGGACAGCGGCACCTCCTTCTCCTACCTGCCGGCGCCGCTCTTTGAGGCGTTCAAGCACAGCGTGATGGCGCGCGTGGCGCGGGGAGTCAAGATGCTGACGGATACAGAGCCGCAGTACCAGAGCATGTGCTTCCGCTCCACCACCTGGACTGCTCTGTGAGTGCCTCTGCTGCTGCTGCCTTTGGGTACCTGTCTTTTGAGTCCTAGCTTTGGGATCACCCTTGGCAATGAGTGGCCCGTGGTCTCAAGATGCTGACGGGTACAGAGCCGCAGTACCAGAGCATGTGCTTCCGCTCCACCTCCTGGACTGCATTGTGAGTGTTCTGCTTCTCCTGGTGCCGCTGCTGCTGCCACTGTCCTGCCATTTCCCCTCTGAGATCACCCTTTGAGATCCCTGTTTTCCTCCTCCTTCACCCCTTCTCCCTGTCAGGCAAGCCTCTACGCTGGCGTCCTTCTTCCCGTCGGTGGAGGTGGTATTCGGGGAAGGCGCCGTTTACTGCCTGGAACCCATTGTTCACTTCCTCTACCTCCCTCCTCCACTCCCCTCCTCCGCCGCTCCCCTCTTTCCCACGCAGGCAAGCCTCCACACTGGCGTCCTTCTTCCGTCGGTGGAGGTGGTATTCGGGGAGGGCGCCATCTACCGCCTGGACCCAGAGAACTTCCTCTTCCAGCACCGCAAGCACCCTGCTACCTCCCTCACCACTCCCCTGCTGCCCCCTTGGGATTGCCCCACACCTACCCCTCGTCTCGTCTCCCTGCAGGCAAGCCTCCACGCTGGCGTCCTTCTTCCCGTCGGTGGAGGTGGTATTCGGGGAGGGGTGCCATCTACCGCCTGGACACCAGAGAACTTCCTCTTCCAGCACCGCAAGCACCCTGCTACCTCCCTCACCACCTCCCCTGCTGCCCCCTTGGGATTGCCCCACACCTACCCCTCGTCTCGTCTCCCTGCAGGCAAGCCTCCACGCTGGCGTCCTTCTTCCCGTCGGTGGAGGGTGGTATTCGGGGAGGGGTGCCATCTACCGCCCTGGACCCTGAGAACTTCCTCTTCCAGCACCGCAAGCACCCTGCTACCTCCCTCACCACTCCCCTGCTGCCCCCTTGGGATTGCCCCACACCTACCCCTTGTCTCGTCTCCCTGCAGGCAAGCCTCCACGCTGGCGTCCTTCGTCCCGTCGTGGAGGTGGTATTCGGGGAGGGCGCCATCTACTCGCCTGGACCCCGAGAACTTCCTCTTCCAGCACCGCAAGCGCAGCGGCGTCTTCTGCATTGGGGTGTTCCCCAACCCCGACCAGGGCACTATTCTTAGGCGGTGAGTGGTGGCGACTTGAGTGACTTCCTGCGAGTGGCCTGGTTGCGCATGAGCGTTGCTACTCTCCTCTTTCTCCCGGGACCAGGGCACCATTCTCGGCGGTGAGGTGGCTGCACTGGTACCTTTCAAACCTACCCACTCTTCAGCACCGCAAGCGCAGCGGCGTCTTCTGCATCGGGGTGTTCCTTAATTAACCCCGACCAGGGCACCATTTCTCGGAGGTGAGTGAAAACAGTGGCACTGTGTATGCGCTCACAGTGATTCACACTCTTCCATATCCGTTCACACCTCCGCTCAGACCTCGTCTTTTGCAGCACCGTGCTTTTTGTTGAATGCGTCAGTGGGTTTCTGGCTCAGCCATTCGGGGACGCAGTGGGTCAAGGGGTCAGTGCCTTGCTCATCCTCTCCCCACCACCCTTGTCTCTCTCCATGTGTCCAGGTCTCATGTTTCGCAACACCATGTTGACCTTTGACCGGGTCAACGACCGCCTTGGCTTTTGGAAGACCCCCTGCGACCAGCTCATGACCCACATTGTGTCGCCTGGCGCGCCTGGTTCGGAACCAGGTCCGGAGCCAGGTTTGGGTGCAGGTTCGGAATCTGGGTCTGGATTAGAGGAGGAAGGCTCGGATATACGGCCTGCAGCAAGGACAATGAATCCGTTAGGGAGGGGCAGGGATCCTCGGGACCCGTACACAGAGGAGCAGGCTCGGTCAGGTGGAGGTTCGGCAGCAGGCTTGGGTGCAGGCACAGGTGGACCCAAGCCTGACGTTGGCACCCACCCAAGCAGCATTACCACACAGGATGCCACTACAAGGGGTGTGTCTGCCAGGGATGTGACTGTAAGAGGCGACAGCAGCAGCAGCAGTGCGACCAGCAGAAGCAAGCGGGCGCCGGATGCAGGGCCAGCAGGCAGCGATGACGACATGGCGATGGTGTGGGCTGTAGCGGATGCCATGCCATCATACCGCCCGGTGGACTCCACGGGGTGTGCGGGGTGCGCCAGCCACGTTGACATGGAGCTGCGGTTTCCGTTGCTCTCGTCCGCACAGCTGGACGCGCTGGAGGGGCAGCTGACTGATGAGCTGATCCGAGAATTATTGCTGGAGCCGGGACAGGTGAGGGCACAGGGGGGCAAGGGCAGGTATGGGCAGGGGGGAGCAAGGAGTGGAAAGGAATGGGCTGGTGAAGGGCAGGTGAGATGGTGTGGGCTGTAGCGGATGCCATGCCGTCGTACTGCCCGGTGGACTCCACGGGGTGTGCGGGGTGCGCCAGCCACGTTGACATGGAGCTGCGCTTCCCCCTGCTCTCGTCCGGCTCAGGAACAAGCTGATCTGAGTGCTCATGTGCGAGCCAAACGTCCTCCTCCCCACCGACCCCCCAACAACCTCCTTCCACCCCCGGTTCTACCCCCCCCCCCTCTCGGTTCTGCCCCCCGTCCCCACTCGAGCAGGTGGTGATTCAGAGTGTGTGGGGCACGAGTCCCAGCGGGGCAGCAGCGGAGGTGTGGCTGGTGCCGTATGCCGGCACCACCTTCCTGCCCGCCATCACAGTGCAGCGCGTCAACTCCACCATTCGCCAGCACGCCATGCACCTGTCGCCTGCGTTTGGCCCCTACAATCTCAGCTCATTCAACGCGCCGCCGCCTGACTTCTCTGGGTGAGTGTCAGGGTGGGTGTCAGGGGGTGGGTGTCAGGGGGTGGGTGTCAGGGGGTGGGTGTCAGGGGTGGGTGTCCAGCTGATGTGAGGGTCATGTGAAGGGGTGCTTCCTGCTTTTCAATCCATCCCCCACGCTGCCATGCACCTGTCACCCGCGTTTGGGCCCTACAACCTCAGCTCATTCAACGCGCCGCCTCCTGACTTCTCCGGGTGGGTGCGAAGGTGATGTGAAGCTGATGCCATGCCATGATGAGTGCTTGCTTGCTGCTTCTCGTGCCATCTGCCACCATGCCATGCACCCCCCCCCTTCCCCCTCTCCTCCCCTCAGTCACCCCTCGTTCGTATTCCCTTCCCACTCGCCTCTTCCTACCCTCATCCATCTTCCATTCCCCTCACCCCCTCCCCTCCCCCCTCCAGCAGCGCGGCTCAATCCCATTCCAAGCCGCAGCTGCGGTGGCTGTGGTTCCTCGTCGCAATCCCCCTCTTCCTCCTCTGCATCGCTGCTGCCGTCTGGTTCCGAGTGGGGCGAAAGGAGGGGGAGACCGAGGCCGGGAGGAAGAGATTTGTGACGGTGGGGCGGCGGTTGCAGCAGGAGGCAATGGAGAGTGAGAGGAGCGAGAGGATGGAGAGGCATGATAGAATAGAGCGGTTTGAGCGGCATAATAAGATGATTGCGCTGACTGCCCAAGGGTCTGGCTCGTCGCCGAAGCAAGTTCCTGGGTTTGGGTTGATGAGCGGGAGTGTACATTGACTACTGATTATGTACCGACGATTTATACGTTTTGTTGTAAAGAAATGATACAACAAATGCAATTTTGGTGGATGGCAGGCATGTACCGGTAGCTCTGTTGTACTCTGTTGTAGTTTCTCATAAACTGGAGTAATGGGTATATGGTACATGGTAACTGTTTATTTGGCGTAATGGGTATATATATTACTGTTTACTTTACTGGTATGCTAGGAGGAGATTAGTTTTCCAGCTTTTACTTACGGTAGCTGCATGTTACTTATCCACTAGATTAAGCTAGAAAGCAAGGTTAGGTCATACAGTTGTAGTAAACAGAGCAAACGATGAGATGAATATTCCATAATTCTTAATTTCCTATTCAAGCTCCTTCAACAGCCGACTTTCAGGCAGATGTAATGGTGTAGACGACTAAACAGACTCTTTTTCTCCCACCTACAGCTCCTGTCCTGCAGGCAACCATCTCCGATACAAAGGAGAGATATGGCAAACACACAAACAAGTTTCATCTCTCCTGTAACTACACATGCCTGCCATTATCTCAATCAACGCGTCTTGAACACAATGACAGCGTTTCTTCAACGCATCTAACCCAATCCTTCAATGCGCCCATCCCATGCCTGTCACACATCCGATCCGCAAGAAGTGCTTCGATCCGAAGCTGTTAACAGGTGGTCCTTCCACAGCCGTGTCAGGCGTCTTATCTGCCAGCGTGTCAAGTGTTCTTTTCCAGCTGCGCGAGGGCAGGTGTGAGGTAGTTGTTGGCTCGATCAGGTAAATGTGCCACCTGTTAGAGGAGATAGTGTGTGAGGGAGATGGTATGAGAGGGAAACCGAGACAGGGAGGAAAGTGAACAGTTGTAAGAGGAAATATCATTTTTATTATAACAAACAACAATGCAGAAGAGACCGAAGTGCAGGAATTGAAGCAACGGAGTGAGACCAGGTGTGTTGCACTCACCAGTTCATACAGACCCGCATTGTCTGTATACTCATAGCAGATCTGCAGAGAAGAGCAAATCAGAGCACACATGAGCAGATCAGACTAATCCATGATAGCCCAGTTTAGTGCAAACAAGCACAGAGGAATTAGAGAACAGGAGGGTTCTATGCAGAAAAACAGAGAGTAAATTTGGAATAACAATCCATATGGACAGCACAGAAGCAATCAGTGCAGAGAATAGTACACACGGTTACCGCATTCGCATGGTTACCGCATTTCACATGGTTACCGCATTCACATGGTTACTGCATTAACATGGTTACTGCATTCACATGTTACTGCATTCACATGGTTACCGCATTCACTCACATCAAAGCTCTTGTTACGGGCCGTCGGATCGTGTAGAGCCTTCACACACACGTCTGCCACGTCAGCACAGCTGATGCCCTGATGTGTGCGTGTTTGGGGGACGATGGGTAAGGCAAGGAGGGGTGAGGGGTGAGGGAGGGACGTAAGCACAGCTGATGCCCTGATGTGTGTGTGTTGGGGGGGACGATGGGTAAGGCAAGGAGGGGTGAGGGGTGAGGGGAGGGACGTAAGCACAGCTGATGCCCTGATGTGTGTGTGTTGGGGGGACGATGGGTACGGAGAAGAGGGGAATGGGGGTTGGTAGGAATGGGTCGGGGAGGGTAGATAAGCTATCAAGTTTCACAGTTTTGTGCACAGATTCGCAAACCACACCCTCCCAACCCTCCTTTTCCCATCCCACCTACCACCTACCCACCTACCCACGCACCCACCTGGGTAATTCTATTCCTGTGGTCGAACACCAGACCAGACCAGAGCCTTCTGAACCATCGGCTCCCCCAGCAGGGGCCCTGGCACACAATGGTGCATCTGTTATTTGAGAATTCCAAGAAAAGACACCCACCTGCGTGATTCTGTTCCCCTGGTCGAACACCAGAGCCTCTCCCTCCCGGCTCCTCCAGCAAGGGCCCTGGGCGCACAATGGTGTACCCAGCCCGCTGTTGCGCAGATGCGTCTCTGCTGCCTGCTCACATGCAAGTGTGTGGCGGGGGAGAAAATGACAGAAAATTAACAGTGTGCTTTTGCCACTCTTAATAGAGCCCGGATCCTCCAATAAAGGCCAACTGACTGCTTGCATAGAGGCCCTGGGCGCACAATGGTGTATCCCAGCCCACTGTTGCGCAGCGTCTCTGCCGCCTGCAATGCATGTGGCAGGCAAAAAGACAAAGAGAGGAAGGGGGTCTCATACCGGTTCGCCTCAGCAGAGGCCAATTGATTGCTTCAGCAGCCCACTGTAGAGGTGTGAGTGCATAATGGTAGCCAGCACCGCACTGCACCGTACTGCACTGCCAGCAGCACTCGTGCGTGCTGACTCTAATGCCTGCACCACAGGCGGAATGCACTCACCACTCTCCTCCGGCTCTCCAGCTCGTTTCAAGTGTGCAAGTGATACAGAGTGAGCACACCTGCACTGCCAGCAGCAGGCGTGCCAGCAGCATGCGTACTGGCAGCACTCGTGCGTGCTGACTCTAAAGCCTGGCACACAGGCGAAATGCACTCACCATTTGGCCTTGACAACTGTCTCTCTCCTCTCCTCCGGCACTCCTGCTCCCGAGCATGACACCAGCACAAAGTCCGTTCTCCTCTCCTCCCTGCACTCCCACATACAGGCATACACACATACACACAAAACAGAAGGGATATGTACACAAGGACAGACAGAGACAACGAGGGAGTGAGTGAGTGATATAGCATGCCATTGCACCCGAGCAAGACACCAACACAAAGTCCGTCTGCTCGCCTTCCTGCGCTCCCACATACACACACACAGAGAAGGCCAAGTGGAGGGGAGTAAGCGAGTGATACAGCATGTCATGCTCCCGAGCAAGACATAAACACAAAGTCCGTCTCCTCTCCCTCCTCATCCCCTCTTCCCCCTTTCTTTTTTCCCAACCCTCTCCCACGCCCTTTCTCCTCCAATACACACACACTCACAGAAAAGGCTATCACGGATTGCAGAACCAGCCTGAACATGCTTGGGCTAGCAGATGCAGCAGCGTAAGTTGCACAAGCACATCAAAACCCACCCCTCCACTTCACACCACCTCCCTCCCGTCCCCCTCCCCTTCCCCCTCCCCCACGCCCTGCCCTCCATAATCTTCCCTCCCCTTACACAGACACTCACAGGAAAGGCCTTAACGTATTGCAGAGCGAGCTTGAAGCTGTTTGGGTCGGCAGGGGCGGCGGCGTTGTCCCCTTCTGCGCCGGCCTTGGATGCCGCCCGGCCCGGAGCAGGGGCGCTCCCACGGATGGTTTCTGGTGAAGTGAAGGGAGAAAGAGGAGAAGAGAGCGGTGAAGAGGGGTAGAGTGTGGTGAAGAGAGGGAGAGTGGGTGAAGAGAGGGAGAGTGGGGTGAAGAGAGGGAGAGCTGGTGAAGAGTGGTGGAATCACGGCAGTTAAAAGGATACCTTGCGATTTGTCGAACCTCTTCTGCACTTCAACACTTGTTAATCCCGTTCTATCCCTCAAGCTCATCCACCCTCTCCCACTGAGTGTATTCACCATGCAAGTGTAATTCACCATGCAAGAGTAATTCACCATGCAAGAGTAATTCACCATGCAAGTGTTATTCACCAGGCAAGGTTGCTTGTATCGCAGGGCAAGTGAGGAGATGAGACTGTAATCGAATGATCTGCAACATAATTTCTAGCCCTCAATGTTTGAGAACCCCATTCCACTGTCTGTGACTCACCGTGCAGCGTTGCTCGTATCGCAGAGCGAGGGAGGTGCTGAGGGTGGGACCAAGCGGTTTGATACCCCATTCCAGATTTGTTAACCCCATTCCACGTCCCAGGTCTGTGAACCCCCTTCTAATGCATGTAACTCACCGCGCGGACGCTGCTCGTATCGCAGAGCGAGGGAAGAGATGAGAGTGGGATCAAGCGGTTGGTTACTCCATTCTACCCCCCAGGATTTGTTAGCACCATTCCACAGCATCACGCAACTCACCGCGCGACGCTGCTCGTATCGCAGGGCGAGGGAAGAGATGAGAGTTGGATCAAGAGGCGGGTCGGACGGGGATGATGCGCGGAAGGCGGAGAAGGGACGCGGGATCTGAGGAAAAACAGGAGGGAGGGGGATGGGGGGAAGGTGGGGGGAAGGTGGGGTGTGGTGTGTGGGGAGGGAGGGTGGGAGCGGGTTAGAGGGTGGGAAGGCGTGGGTTGGACGGGGATGATGGGCGGAAGGGGGAGCAGGGGATGATGGGCGGAAGGGGGAGGAGGAAATGCGAATCTGGAGAAAGAGCGGATGGGGAGGAGGAAGGCCCGAAAAATGGAGGGGACAGGAGGTGAAGGGTGGGTTTGATAAAAATGGGGGAGAATGGGGAGAAGAGCGGAAAGGGAAGTTAGGAGTCAAAAGAAAAGGGAGGGGAGGGAGGGGAGGGAGGGTGTGTGAGAAGGGGAAGCGACAGGGACTCGTGGTGATTGCGAAAATGAGGCGGGAACTGGACATGAGATTGCTCTACGTGCAAGCCAAGAGCAGGGAATGCAGATCTTCTTTTCCCACCTCCATCTCTCACACATTCTGCTCTCCCCTCTCCGTGTCTTCACAACAGCCACGCACTCATGCTCCTCCTCCACCTCTTCTATCCCTTTACCTCTACTCTACCTCTTGTGACTCAACTCATACATCACATCCTTTCCTCCCCCACTCACCGTGTTCTGCCCTTTCATTGTCTTGACAACAGCCACATACTCATATACTCCTCCTCCTCCACCTCCTCCTCTTCCTCCAACACACTCTCCCCATCCTCCCCCACTCTCTCCACGCGCGTTCCATCCTTCGCCACCCGCAGCACCAGCGAGTATGGCTTGCCGTCTGACACGAAACGGAACACCAGACCCTCGAAGCTGAGG